CATTGTGCTCTGCACGCGTGGGTTCGAATCCCATCCTCGTCGTTTAGCGCTCCACTCCGTAGTGGACGCTAGCTAGGTTTTACCGCGAATCAAGGCTGTTTTAGTGCCTTGTGAACCGCGTATTACGATCTGCGGGCAACATGTCAGCATCGCCCGGGGCCCACCGGTGCAGGTGGCTGCAGATGATGCCGATGCCAGCGCCTCTACTGCGTTTGAGAACCGTGGCCACACCCTTCTCTTCGCTCACCGCCCCACCTGGTTTGAGGATTCCCGAATGGACAATTTTTGTCTCACAGTCTTTGCTTTTTAAACCTCAGGCACCTTTCCAAGTGCAAGGCTCTTTCTGGAGACGTTATCGCTTTCTACCTTTCCAACTTCTCCATCAAACCAGCTTTGTCTTTCCCCCAGGGGCAGAGACTGCCAACAAGCGGCGCTTTTGCTTATGTCGTTCCTTCAGCCAGGAGAGTGTCTGCCTCCTTCTGGTAAAATCTGTTTCAAGGTGCAGGTCAGACATCCCTTTCCTGTGAATCTGCGAAGGACAGCATTGTTCTTTTCTTTGTATTTTAGTTTAATTTAATTTAAATTAATATAATTTAAATCGAAGATCTTTTCCAAACGCTCCCGCCTCTATTTATTTCTCCCTTCTTTGATTATATTCTGCCACGTACATCTTGATTTTAGCACACAGTCCCACAGAAATCTCATCTGCCACCTGTTTTCACCTTGGAGTAAACTCCAGAAGGGGCCAGGCACACAGTGCAGAACAGCAGAATTCGAAGAGGCGGTAGAGATTCTCCCTCTGAAACTTCCCCTCACTCATCAGTCTCTGTTTCCTAGACTAGGAGACTGAGGTAGAGACAAACCCAGTCTTTCCTTTAAAGGATCATGGGAACCAACTTCTTTTAGATCAAGTGTTTGAGGCAATGTGGTCTTTCCAACATGTTCAAATCCTGTGACTGGGATTGTAACTTCTGAGATCTGGAAAATTCTTCCGAAGTACACTTGTCATGAACTAGCGGAACTCTCAAGGCCCCATGAAGACTGAGGCCTAAGAAGGATGGATTTTAAAGCAATATCTGTTTTTGAATTTCACCTAACAATATATGGCTTATCTGTATATATGGGTTCAAAGAGGGCTTATACACTTTAACCATTTAATCTCGGAAATAAAAGTTCAGGAGGTGATGACCCAAATTGAAAGCCAAAGTGGAATCTTCAGGAATCGGGTGATATACTTTGTGTGTTTTGCTTTTTCTCCAACAAAGAATCAGAGGTAATTATTGCTGCTGCGGATGACTGAGCAGTCACCCGTCCTGCCACCCCCTCCCCACTTTACCTCTTTTGAAAAGAAGGTTCTAAGGGTGTGTACCACCCTTTTATATCCTGTTTCTCCCACTTTGCACACTGTACACATTCAACAGATAGTTATAGCATAGACACTTAAAGGTATAGTGTGTGTGTATGTGGTGTGTGTGTGTGTGGTGGCAGGCGGTGGGGGGGTGGGGTGGGGAGACTGAAAGGTCATCCAGGCAGAATAGACCAGGGCATGTGTCACTCCTTGTAATACACATTAAGGATGATTTTAAATGTTCCCCTCCCTTGTATTTCCCAAAGCAAGGAGGCAGACCTGGGGCAGTTTTGCCTCTGCCCCTCACCTTTTTCAAATCCAAAGGGTCTGTTTTGTCCCAAAGTATAGTAAAGAGGAAGGAAAGAGGAACACATTGTGCAGAAAAGAGCTACGTCTCTGTTTTCTCTGTACAGCCTGGACTTTGCAGATGACCAGAGGAAACCAGCGGGACGGGAGCTCTTAGAGGCTGGGGAAAGGAGCAGGCCCTGCCCGCCCTGTTTACTCATTGCTTTGACCTCCAGCAAGAGCTCTCAGGCCTCCACATCGGAACCGAAGTTAGATCTGAAATCAGACACCATGTCTTACCATCTTACCATGAATGAACAGTTGGAAATTACTTTTTCTGCATCCTAAATTATTAAATTCAGTTATTTAGGCACAAAGTGTGTTTGTATGTTTTGTACAGCAATTTTCCTTGTTTTCGATTTTTGTTTTTGTTTGTTTTCCGGTTGGCACACACACACACACACACACACACACACACACACTGTAAACCCCTCGGCTCTTTTAATGGACTTAGGCTGGAATACAAGCTGTTCTCATCCGTGTTGATGGCAACACAACCCAAGGAGGAGAGGAAGATGGAAAAGGAGAGGAAGAGTGAAACACAGTAACACGGACTCCACAGCAGCCAGAACTTCAAAAGCAACGGGGACTCAGACTGGAGGCAAAACGTGGAGAAGAGATTGTGGCCTTGGAAAGGCTGCAGGATTCCCACTGTGTGGAGACTCAGCAGTCGGGGTCAGACCCCCTCGGTTGGCAGATCCGAATTCCCTTTTCCGAGTGGCTCAGGACAAGCTGAGCCTGCGAAAATAAAACTCAGGCACTCAAAATCCAAATTTGGGGAGACCTCCGGAGCCCCCAGTTTATTGAATGGCCCTATTTCCTTTCAGTCTCCCTTCACCCCAGACAGCAGTTCCCCCAGGACCAGGGGAAAAAAATAGAAAAAAAGTCAATGTGGGAAGGCAACACTTGTGTGGGTGGTAGCTCCACACACCCTCATTGGGAGTAAGGCATTTAAATTTCACAGGTGTGCACGGAGTTAAAGTTAACCACGAAGGGATTCGAACCCTCAATCTTCTGATCCGAAGTCAGACGCCTTATCCGTTAGGCCACGTGGTCTGTGAGAGCAAACATTCTCGGATTGCTTAGGGAGTACAATGAGCTTTCAGCCTGCCCTGAGTCCTACCAGTCAGGTGGTGATGCAAAGACGATGGCGTCCGGGCTTCTCGTCTCTAGAAAGATGGAAAACCTAGGTTATGTGAGATCATTTGGGGCCACGGAGTCGGGATTGCGACAGGGTTCAAACTGGCAATCATTTCGGTCTTGTGGCATATGGGGCCTCCACGGAAAGAAAAGTCCCTTTTTTTTGTTTGTTTGTTTTGTTTTGTTTTTTTGGTACATCTACCATTTCCTTGAGCAGAAAGACTGGAATTTATGGCACGTAAAATATGCTCAGGTATTGCATACTGTCTGCACCGAAGGATAGTTTTTAATAAGCTAAGCCATTGTTTCTTCCTTATGAATACGGACATTCACTGTTTTCAGATTCTGAAAGGGTGAGGGGGGTACCTGAGATAGCTGGCTGGACAGTTGTCATGGAAACCGCACCCGGAAGGCGGCTTTACTATCAAACGGCTTCTGCAGGATCGTCCCTCTCGCCACCCAGCAGGGGTAGTTAACAATTTTCCCCTTTCCCATGCTCTTCTGGTGCTTTCTCTGTGATAATGTGACATCAGAGCACTTTTCACACCGTCTCTATCAGATTATTGGAAGCTTCCATATATTAACAACAACAACACCCCAGTAGAGTAAGGTTACAAAAATCTTGACTGTTAACAATATTTACATTACACGAAATGATGTTTCAGTACAATCATTCTGTGGGCAACATATTTATAGAATTTATAATGTTCCGTAGAGTGCTTAGCCCGATGGTGTGATCTAGATTTAACACTGGATTTGGGATGGCTGCTTTCACACTTGTTAGTGCATCTCAGGCTCCTCGTTCCAATGTCAGCGCTGTACACTGAAGACATTTCCCTAATTTTCTTAAATGCAAGGCCCTGGGAGCTTTGGCCCTACCGGCTCATTTGCGGAGGCTTTTCCTTGGTGTTTTCTTTCTTTCTTTCTTTCTTTCTTTCTTTCTTTTTTATTGTGAGATTAAGTTGTGGAATTGTAATGAAATTTAAAAAGAAGAAAAAGAAAACAGCTAGCAGAGGATGGTTTCGATCCATCGACCTCTGGGTTATGGGCCCAGCACGCTTCCGCTGCGCCACTCTGCTCCTCCGGTCAGTGGTTTCATAATTATGCCTTTAACACTACGCGGACTTACGCACTACCGTTTCAAAATATAGTTCGTGGTGGTGGTGGTGGTGGTGGGGGGGGGTGCTTATTTATTTTAATACCTTCGCTACCACAACTTGCCAATTCTGATTGGAAATAATGTCGCTACCAGAATCAAACAGAAGGCAAAACTAGCAGCAGAGAAGTAAACATTAACACACGTAAGTTACTGGGCGCAGAGGTGAGAGTGGCTAGATATTATAATGAGAACTACAGGCTTTAATACACGGAGCAGAAAGAGAAAACACGCGGGGAAGAGACCCCGGCTTCCGTGGGGGGCAAGTTCCACCGCGGCCTCGCCGTCAGGAAGAACGGGCCCCTTTTGGTCAGATTTCCCAGCTTGGTGTGGAGGGGCGTCCGACAGATTTTAGACTCCTGGGCGGGTGGGAGGGACGGAGCGAGGGATTCGGGTGGAAAGGCTTTGCTGCGGGAACAGGAGAGCCCCGGGGGCAGAGACATTGGGCCGAGGGACCCGCGTTCCCACTAAGGTGCGACTGCCTCCAAACAGCAGAAGAAAACCAGTTCCAATGTGTGAGGGAAAAGGGGGCTCTGGGATAAGTGGGTGAGCTGACCACAAACCGCTAACTGGACAGGTTATGGTGACTCTCCTGCCCCTTGCTTTCTCCCAGCTTTTTGTAATTCTCCCTAATAGCGGATGCGTAAAAGGAAAAACAAAACTGTCTTTCTCCGGATCTTACCTCCCTCTCAGGTCAGTTTGGTTCACATAAACTCATACGGCCCTCTGCAGGTGTCCCCGTTTCTACAGGGACAAACGTCAGTTTCTTGAGTTTTAAGCGATTAAAAGTTCGGGAAATTCTGCTCCGGGGACCCCGGAAGTGCAGCGGAAAGCGGGGAGAGGAGGAACTCCAGTCGCGGTGACGTCATTTGGCGCTGGTTCGCGAGGAGGCGGGCCTACAGCCGGCGGAAGTTCTTGCGTGCCTCCGGTTCTCAATTAGGTCCGCACTCCGCGTATATAACTGGGCTGCTCTTTCCCCAGGCCCTGTTCGGTACTTGCCCGAGCTTCGCAATCATGTCTGGTCGCGGCAAAGGCGGGAAGGGGCTCGGCAAAGGCGGCGCCAAGCGCCACCGCAAGGTGCTGCGCGACAACATCCAGGGCATCACCAAGCCCGCCATCCGGCGCCTGGCCCGCCGCGGCGGCGTCAAGCGCATCTCCGGCCTCATCTACGAGGAGACCCGCGGGGTGCTCAAGGTCTTCCTGGAGAACGTGATCCGGGACGCCGTCACCTACACGGAGCACGCCAAGCGCAAGACGGTTACGGCCATGGACGTGGTCTACGCGCTCAAGCGCCAGGGCCGCACCCTCTACGGCTTCGGCGGCTGAGCCACTCATTCCCAACAATTTTGTTTCCACCAAAGGCCCTTTTCAGGGCCGCCCACTTTTTTCCTAAGGAGAGCTATGCACACATCTTTGCATGTCAACGTGGGGAGGGACAGACAGGCATGAGTTCACCAGGGTGTTCTTTGTTTTTCCTGGAATTCGTAGGCCTTCTCTGTAATATTTTGTCTATAAAACGACTGGTGGTGCCTGGAAGCTCTGCCGCCGACCCTTACTCCAGATTTCGGGGGTGGGGGTTCATTGAACCTGCAAATGGCGTGTTTCGGCGAGGGTGCAGCTTCCCGCCCACATAAACGCAGGTCGACTAAAATATGAATTCCCAGTGAAACTACTGCATATTTGCCCTCGGCGACATCAGGAAGGGTCGGCACACTTTGGATTCACCTCCCGACCCTTTCCTGGCAGGGATCAGACTGAGTGCCGTCGTCCCTAAACACGCTGGGCTTGGGTTTAAAAGTAACTAAACTGGGCCTAGCAGATGATTCTTCTCAACCGGGCGTTCCTTAAGCCCGAGGCTTTGCAGTTTGTAAGTTACGGTTGACTAGACAAAGGGGTCGGTGTTCTAACTCGGGTGTCTAAGTTCCTCTGAACCTGGAGGGCCTCACTTTGCATTTGTGAAGAAGCTCACTGCCGAGGTTACAGGCCCTCTCCCTCCCTCCTCTTTCCTCCCCCCTCCTCCCAGATCCCCGCTGGGGACTCGGTCTGCACGCTCGGGCTCTAGGGCGCCCCCTGCGGCTTCGGGGGGCTAAGTCGCCCATTTTCAGCCACTTAATCTTTTTTCCACCAGAGGCCCGTTTCACGGCCACGCACACATTTCCGTAAAAACGAGCCTCTTTTGCTTTGTTACATGCGCAGTTAAAGCTGTCATAAACCTGCTTTAGTTTTAAGCTCCGGGTCTGATTGTCAGGCCTTGATAGTTTATTGTTGGGCCATCGTGTAGGGAGTGTAAGCTTGCTTAGATATCTTCAAGTTTCAGGAGGCGTTGTCTAGCTTCCCACGAACCTTCGCTCTTGGTTTTCGAGGACTTGGAGTGGGAAGAAGCGTGCACACAGCTCCCAGATACCAGAGAGAAGTCGGGTTACACTGCCTGAGAAGTGGCAGGGGACTCTCCCTGACTGCCTGTGTCCTCCAGCGGGTGGGGAGAGGCTGGGACAAAGGCAAGTCTGTGAGCAGACATGGGGTTCCCAGACACAAGCCCGCTGGCTGGCGTGTAAACAGCTGTTCCCTGGTGTACAAAAGGCACTGGGAGAGAACTAGAATGCCCACGAGGGCTAGCTGGCAAGTATTGTTCAGCCTAGAGACTAGTACAGTTCTGACTTCTATATGAAAACTTCAAGTATGTAAGAGAATGTTACTCAATGAATAACAATACCTAAATCTCACCCAAACGTAACAATTACTTAGCAAGCAGACAGACCATTTTTAAAAGTATACATACAGGTATCAGGACATTACACACACCCCCAAATTAAGCATACACTATTAAAAAATAAAACTATATAATCACATGTAACTAAAACCAGATACCTTAATATCTAATACTCATCTCACTCTTAAAACGTCCTTATTATGACCCAAATGTCTTGGCGATATGGTTTGCTCAGAGGTGGACCCAATTGCACCTTTGGTTCTGTTTCAGGTTTCTTAGTGTAAGTTTTTTCCTCTTCCCCTACCCCAACTTTTTTTTTTTTAACCTGGATTTGCTGCAGATCTGACCTATAAGATATCCTTATTTGTCTGATTTTCTGATGGGGTCATTTCATTTGACTTCTGTCACCTCTGTGTCCTTCAAGGTAGAAGCAGTTTCCACAGATTTGATTGAAATCATGTTAGGAACAGTTTATAGATGCTATTATGTACACACAACTGCACCATATCAGAGACACACGATGTCTGGCTTATCTAAACTCAAGCTAATAGGTTGTTTGCTGGCTTAGGGTGATTATAAAATCAGGGTTAGGGTTAGGGCCAGCAAGTAATCTGTAGGGTGATATTTTGAGATTGGAAAAATCAATGGAGTCATTTTAAATTTCATCTGTTTCAAAGGTATGGACTGTAGTGCTTACATAGGAAAGTTATCAGATGTTACTGGAGTGAAGACTTTGGTTTGAGCAGATAAACTTATATGAGGATGTTAATTGGAAAACAACAACAACAACAACAACCAAATTTAGCACACGGCATGCACCAGACACTGGGAGTTATATGCTCCGGGAATTACGGCAGCAAATAACAGTGAGCAAAACAACGAAGGGGCCGTTCAAGAACTGAGCTCTCAGATAAAAAAGTAAACGAGGGTTTGCTCTGTATTTATGATATGTGGACTCAAAACTTACAGTTTTCAAGTGCTTTCTTCTGCCATTCTTCCTTTCTCCTGTGACTCTCAGAACAAGCAGAATAACAATTATTTCTTGTTTACAGAAGTGGGGAAATGCGCTCAGCAAGGACTATGCAGTGAAATTGGAACTTCCTCTCAAACAAGGGGTTGACAGTAGAACCATGGGGAGATCACTGTAGAGATCCGGCGTTGGTGGAGATCCGCTTTCTCCCCGGAGGCCCCCACAGGCCTCACGTATTTTGCAAGCAGTTGCAGGGAGTTCTCGGGCCTCCTGAAGCTCATCTGTGGAACTCCACTTAAGAGCTGTGTGTCTGAGCTGGCTTTTCTCTTCCCTTGTCTTTCCCCTACTCCTGATTGGAGAAGATGGACCTCGACAACACGGATCTCTAATTATGTTGCTGTGGAAACAGTGTTTGCACATTGTAGAAAAGATCAGCCCAGAGATTTCAATTTGCCCTTTTAATTTGTTCTGGTCAAAAAAAAAAAAGTGGATGAAAATGACAGGTGCCACCCTGGGTAGGACCTTAGGACCATGTGCGGCCTGTCATGGTACCTTCGGCACGGTCCTGAGCATAAAGCAGACAGACAGGTGGAACGAGGGCAGTAACTAACCCACAGTCAACAACCATTACGAGAGACACGGAAACCCGTGTTGTAGTAAGTCACCGGGACTTCATAATTATCACAGCCCAGCTACTCCTCAATGCACTGAGGCAGTGTTATGCCGCATCTGGTTTCTGGGAATGGCTGCGTTCAGGAACGTGAAGTTGCCGTGTTGTCTCATGTGGCTACAGCTCACCTGTCACAGCCAGGTTGGGCAGTGTGATTGTACCTGGTGATGCCCCAAACCGTCCATCTTCTCTCCCTGGTTCATGTGTACTGAGTTGGTGGCCTTGAAAAATGTCTAAAGGATGCTTTGCTCAAATACAAAATGTTAGCTCTAAATGTTCATTGTGTAGGTTACTTCATAATAATTCTGTAAATAATATCAATAAGTGTGTCAACTATGTAGAATAGAATATAAAACTGCTTGAAATACGTGGAAGTGAGAAGTAGGTAAGATTTTAGAACAAATAGCCAAGAAATCTGCTCTAACCCTGCCCCCGCCTTTGCTTAGCTGAGCTGATTCGGAAATACATTTTTCAACTTTGGAATGAAGGGTTCTGTATAAATCACTGGTTTCCACTTGCTCCTCCGTGGATAGTATTAAAGTTTTCACTACTCTGGTAAAAATAAAAAGAGAAAAATATGCTGTGTTGTAAATCTTTCTTAATATTAAAATTGAATTCAATTTATTTGGTACAAATGTTCCTTTTTTTCCAAAGAGAAACACTGACTGGTGACCGGTCACCTCTCGAATGTGGCCCGCAGCCCAGGCAGGGGCCCGACCTGGGAGTCAGACCAGCAGCTTTTTGGTCCACAGGTTGGTGCTCAACCCACTGAGCCACACCCACCCAGGGTGGTAATAGTGTTTCCTTTTTCAAGTTCATTCTTAGCGGTCTTCTGAATTGTTAGCAACCCTACCTTGGTCTTTCCGGCAGCCCTGGCTTTTCCTAGTGTGGGAAGGATTATGGACCATAATTTCCTGATTGCCTTCGAGCTTTGAAAATGTAGCTGCTCTTCTGAAGATGATACTTCATTCTTCCCAGATGCTGCAGCGTGCTGAGGAACAGGGAGCAGGAGGTGTGGGGAGAAAAAAATGGAATAAAAAATCACTAAGCAGCTCTTGTGTGAGCTTCCAGAGTCCCTTTCGTGTAGCCTAACACATGTGACTGTGCTGTGAGGTGCCGCCCTGGTTCTAGCGCTGCGCAAGGTGGGCCCTGGAAAATCAGCTGGGCAGTAGCGTGGCCTCAGCACAGCCCAGGAAGGACATGGCCCTGGGGAGGGCTCGGACTGTGAGAGAGGGTCTGCCTGGTTGTCCGCACTGCTGGACGAGGAAGCCAAATTTATGCCAAGCATTCGTAGGCTCTTTGGCCTGCTGCCCCGTTCAAGGCCTCGAGATGCTGAGACCACATGTGGGCAGGACCCAGGGCACTGCCACTAACAGTGCGAGAGCAGAGGCCTCAGCCGCAGTTTAGGAGGACTGTCTCTGTGCTAGGACACCGGCCTAAGTGCTTCCTTTCCCTGTCTTCTTCTAAGGACCACCCCAGCAACGCCAGGTGGGATGGGTCATCATCATTCCCATTTTAGAGGTGAGGCAATGCTCACTGAGGGTTTCAGTGACTTGCCCAAACTCAGTATTCAAACGGGCAGGCAGCAGTGTATCATGCCCCGGGGTTTCCCCTTAAGGCACACTTAGAAAAACGAACACATTGTTTTAAAAATGTACTTAAAATTTGCTTTGGAGAGCAAGAAATGCTGCAATTATGTGTGGGCCTCAGGGAAATTTCTTCACTGTCTCCACTGCAAATCGAGTCACTCAGTGCTCGCAGAAGTCTGCCGCGTGGGCATCCGCAGAGGGACAGGTGCGGTGGGCCTCTCAGCTCAGGGTTCCTCGGCCAGTGGCCGCTGCTGCTGCCCCTTCACTCCAGCGCTCAGAGAAGGTGGCTTTGCTGCCAGGCACCCCCGTGTTCCAACCCCCACCTGATGTACACTTTGAAGATGCTCGGGCTGCTGCAAGGACTTCACCGGGTCCCCAAGAGCACGCGTGTCTCCCAGCCACTTTCTTGTTTTACTCTAATGCTCTGTTCCCTTTGAGCCTGTCTCCACATTCCTCTGGCCTCTCCCCTGAGAGGACGTCCGATAAACACTGGAAACAGTGCTCAGAACCAGGCGCACGGGCACTTAGGTCTGCTGTATTCATGTCCGTGTGGCGGGGGCTAGCACTCGGCCCTTCCCGGGAGGAACTGAAGGGTCAGGTCAGTACCGTGCTGATGAGCAGCACACAGGCGTGAAGTCCTGCAACCTCCTCCCTTCATACCACAGCCCAGGAAATACTAATAATGATAATAATAATAATAATAATAATAATAATAATAATACTGAAAGAGAAAAAGCTACCTGTGCACACGGTCCCTGCAGGGCGGGAGGAGGGAGGGGAGCTCTGGGAGCCCTTGAGGGAGCCTGCAGCTCCCCTGGGAGGCACAGTCCAGGCATTCTCAGAACTGGAATTCCTGGTGCTCGGGGAACTCGCGTAACAGAGGACTCCTGCTCTCCGCTGTCAGGACATGCCGCTGTTCCTTCTACGCTCAGAAAGCGGCTGGATGAGAAAATGCTACGGGACGTGGGACAATTCCCTGCCTGGCTCGGGATAGTGCAGGCACTGAAATACTCCAGGGACACTTTCGGTGAGGAGGTCTGGGGGGACCTTAGGGGCTTCCATGAGACACTCGAACTGAAAACAGGCCATTTGCAGAGCCTCCGGGCGGGGCAAGACTGAGACGGCGAACCAGGCCTAGGCTTCCCCATGCGAGTTAGGGCAGTAGCTCAGGGAACAGCCCAGCTGCGTACAGTCTGCACTCACTATGCCGGGGAGATAAGACGTGGTAGGAAACTTTAACTGGTTCTTACAACGCTGGACACTTTATCAACTGTAAAGAATTACAGATCTTTTGAGACAATATGGGTGGCTCTGAAAAGAGCCTTTGGGGTTAGGGGTCAAGCGGCTTCCCCGCGCGTCTACTTGGAGCTGGTGTACTTGGTGACGGCCTTGGTGCCCTCGGACACGGCGTGCTTGGCCAGCTCCCCGGGCAGCAGCAGGCGCACGGCCGTCTGGATCTCCCGCGACGTGATGGTCGAGCGCTTGTTGTAGTGCGCCAGGCGCGACGCCTCGCCCGCGATGCGCTCGAAGATGTCGTTCACGAAGGAGTTCATGATGCCCATGGCCTTGGACGAGATGCCCGTGTCCGGATGTACCTGCTTGAGCACCTTGTACACGTACACCGAGTAGCTCTCCTTGCGGCTGCGCTTGCGCTTCTTGCCGTCCTTCTTCTGGGCCTTGGTCACGGCCTTCTTGGAGCCCTTCTTCGGGGCGGGCGCGGACTTGGCTGGCTCAGGCATGATAGCAAAAGCAGCGAAACTCGCAAGAGACAAAGTAACAGCAGGGCACGGTGTGTCCGTTTTTATATAGAACCTGACATGCAAATAAGGTGACAAACTAAAGACCTGTGTCTGATTGGTGAGTATTCAGAGCAACGTCAAAAGAAGTTAGCTTTGCCCAATCAGGACGCAAGAACACTAAGTTTGCACTGTTTTCCAGTTAAGATGAAACTGCACTCTTAACCAATGACGTGTCTTTTTCCCGCCCAAAAAGATTTATAAGAAGGGCCGCCCTTACATCCTCAGTACTTCCTAGTACTTTTACGAGCTCAGCATGTCTGGACGCGGGAAGCAAGGCGGCAAGGCGCGCGCCAAGGCCAAGACGCGCTCGTCGCGGGCCGGGCTGCAGTTCCCCGTGGGCCGCGTGCACCGCCTGCTGCGCAAGGGCAACTACGCCGAGCGGGTCGGCGCCGGCGCGCCCGTCTACCTGGCGGCCGTGCTGGAGTACCTGACGGCCGAGATCCTGGAGCTGGCGGGCAACGCGGCGCGCGACAACAAGAAGACGCGCATCATCCCGCGCCACCTGCAGCTGGCCATCCGCAACGACGAGGAGCTCAACAAGCTGCTGGGCAAGGTGACCATCGCGCAGGGCGGCGTGCTGCCCAACATCCAGGCCGTGCTGCTGCCCAAGAAGACCGAGAGCCACCACAAGGCCAAGGGCAAGTAAAAGCCTGCAGCAGCTCCAACCAGTTGAAACCAAAGGCTCTTTTCAGAGCCACCCATCTTGGCACTAAAAGGGCTTGCATAATCGTTACAGTACTTTCTCAGTCTGCAAGTAGATGGCAGTATGAAAACACGGGGAAATAGAAAAGTATCCAGTGGAGATGGATACTTGCATACACCATGAAGTGGCTAGTCAGCCAGGAAAACAGACACACAGATACTTTGTATCGTGTAAGGAAGGGGATCAGCGCAGCGGGCCCTCAGGGTTAAAAGTGAATGGCTTAGTACTGGGTTCCTGTTGGGGAAATCAAAACCACCCACTTTTTCTAAAAAGCTGAAATGCTTAAATCTACATGCGCTCTTTGCTTGAATTCTAAGGTTGTATATATTACCACAAAGAGGTCAGTAAGCTTTTTAAGTTGTTACTCACACTTGACACACCAAGAAACTAGAAAGAATCATGACAGTAGTTTTCTGGCGCCTCCCTTCCCGAAGGCAGCTGCAGCTCTGGGCCGGGTCGGGAGTTCTGACCCTGAGCCGTGTGAGTGGCAGGGAGGCAGAAGGGAGACCGTGCCTCAGCCTGTTCATCTTGGGCAGCCAGTGTGTGCGCGGTGTGTGCGCACGCACAAAGGACACGGCCCCTGGGTACCGAAGGGAGCCTGCTGTCAGAGAGTCTACAGTATGAATGAGAGAAATAATGGAACAAAGGAGTGACAGCTGGCCAATCACACGTCAGGGCGGGCTTTTTAAACGTTACTGGCGCTGGCATTCTTGATGGTGACTATTTAGTTTCTTACTTTTCAGAAAACAAGAAATGAAGCTCACTGAAATCAACACGAAATGAAACCGTGCTTTTATGGATTATTTGAAATTGGGGCATAAACTCACGCGAAAACCTGTATTTTATTTCAACTGTTAGTGGAAATCCAGTCCTGTTACTCAAGAAAGCGAACAAAAGCAATTAGATCACAGCGTGGGACCCAGGGACCAGACTGACCTGCTCTCACACAGAAGGTCAGAACCCGCCTTTTCTCTGGGGACGCCTGGCGCGGACCACCGCTGCTGTCAGCCCTGAACTGAACGGGAGGGGCTGGGGTGTGGAGCAATTCATCCAGTTCCTAATAATCCACCAATCACCACGTTAGCTTTTCAGCCAATGGTTTCTTTGCGCGGGACTTTCGAAAAAGGGCAAACCCAATCACAACGTTCCTGAGGATATATAAAGGCTACTTCTTTCTCTTTTCAAGTCAGCATTTTGTGTAACTGTGCTTGAGATGGCTCGCACCAAGCAGACAGCTCGTAAGTCCACCGGCGGGAAGGCCCCGCGCAAGCAGCTGGCCACCAAGGCCGCCCGCAAGAGCGCGCCGGCCACCGGCGGCGTCAAGAAGCCGCACCGCTACCGGCCCGGCACCGTGGCCCTGCGCGAGATCCGCCGCTACCAGAAGTCCACCGAGCTGCTGATCCGCAAGCTGCCCTTCCAGCGCCTGGTGCGCGAGATCGCGCAGGACTTCAAGACCGACCTGCGCTTCCAGAGCTCGGCCGTCATGGCGCTGCAGGAGGCGTGCGAGGCCTACCTGGTGGGCCTGTTCGAGGACACCAACCTGTGCGCCATCCACGCCAAGCGCGTCACCATCATGCCCAAGGACATCCAGCTCGCGCGCCGCATCCGCGGGGAGCGGGCGTAGGCGGTCCCCATCGACTGATGGTGACCTTGAACCCAAAGGCTCTTTTCAGAGCCACCTACATTTTCAGTTTGAAGAGCTGTGAGCAAGTAAACGGGATCTGCTCCCAAAACCAAGTGGTGGGGGTGGGGCCCAGTTCACGCCCGTGGTCAGTTCCCAGCTTGTTGGGGATGCCTGCAGACTCACTGTGCCTTAACGGTGCGTGAGGAATGTCATGGCCACTGACGCAGGCCCCGGATCTGGCTCAGGTGAAACTGAGGAACCTCTTATTTAAGGGAACCCCTCAACAGCTATTGAGGACATTTCCCGGCTCGCCTCCAAAACCGCACACTCCTGGGCCCCGTCGGAGAGTGCCGGGGGGCTGTGCACCCACGCAGCTCTGCGCGCCCAGCAGCGCCAGTGTCTAGCCGGGGCCGCCGGTGAAACGGGGGAGACGTCGGGAGCTCGCAGGCCTGAACCACAGGATTGGTCCCCCAGCACTGGTTCGCCCGACTCAGAGGGTCTTCTCCAGGGTCACCCCCTTCCCGCCCTCAAAACAGCTGCAATTTAGTTGTATTTTAAGTCGCAGTGTCAGTCGTGTTTTGAGGTTTTGGTCTGAAATTGACTTGGGACATTCAGGGGGGAGACTCGTTTCCCTAAGGAACCGGGTGAACCTGCTTGACTTCTTTCCGGGAGTGAGGGGCTGGTTGGTCTGGAGTTTCCTGTGATGTTGCCACCGTCTAGACGCCCTTCGGGCAGCTCCGCTCCCCACAGGTGAGCGGATTGTGCGCAGAAGTTGCCCCCAGACGGGAGCTGGGCTGGCTGTGGGGAAGTGGGAGGCGAACGGCCCTCGGCTGTGCTTCAGGTGTGCTGGGGCGACGGCCTGGGTTGTTTCCTGGTGTCTGAGGAGTTGGGAGGGGCCGTGGTCAAGGGTGCATTTGGGTTAGACCGGCACACGGGTTATGAAGGGCGAGGGGCCTCACCCACACAAGGTGGGAAGTGGGGTGTGCGTTTTCCACTGGCGCCTCCCACAGCTTTGCCCCCGCCTCGTTGGTCCCTGATGGTGGAGAAACCAGGGCTGGGGGGACCTGGCTTCTCCATGTGGGTTCCCACCTTGGTGTCGAGTGGAGCAGTTTGGGCTCCCCTGTGAAATAGTGTCCTTTCACACGGAACAGGGAGGGCTTTGGTTTCCTGACAAGTGACTGGTAATCGAACGTCAGGATTTCTCATGAGCTCATTGGTAGCAGAACTGAAGGCGGTTCTGCGCCCCGAGGACATTGGAGTCTGGGACCAGTTTGGGCACTGCTTGGGCCTGGCTGGAAACGTGGGGTCTCAGCGCCACCCAGGGCCCCTCTATGACGACTCCAGCTCCCCTCCAGTGAGTCTCACGAAGGCCAGTGGTGGGAGCTCACCCTTTAAATGGGTGCTTTTGGTCTTACCAAGAGTCGCAGCCTGCCTGTGCACTCCCTCCAGGAGCAAGCATTTGCAAACTGCGTGTTTATTCCCATCACAGAATGACATGTTCCCGAAAGCAATGGCCCATAGCCATGTGCACCTAAGACCATTGACTTCGATGTAGATCTGAGGTCTCAGTGTGGACTGCCCACCAAAACTGGCATGTCTTCCAGGCGAGTTGAGGAAAATCCACGAAGATAAGAGGCAGGACCGAGGCAGGTGGGATCGGACCTTGTGTGCCACACGGTTGTGCTTGAAATGCATGCTAGAACCAGTCGGGCGTCACTGGACTGCAAACACAGTCTGGCCTTGTTCACAGATCACACGAGTCTGACCCCTCCCTGAAGGTCTCCCTGCACGTTTAAGGCGTTTTCCTGATGTCCGCAGCCCCGTGCCGACTGCGCACACCTGCGTTTGGACCCCAGGGGCACCAAGCACTGTGTGCCTCAAAAGGAACATTTCATTCTAATGTGAAATTAATTTATTTTCTTTTCCACGGAAACCGTTCTTGCCAGTATTCACAGTTCATTCGTGTTGTACTTGGAAGGTTCGGTGTCCTTCTGAAGACTTGGGACTCACCACTTTTCCCTCTAGTTTCACCTAGGCTGCCTGTAGGCATGACATGTCACAGGGACTGCCCTGTCCCCCGAAATTGATTTTCCTTTCTTGTTTAGTAGTTAAACAGCACACGCTTCCTTTGCAGAGAGGCAAGGCCATTATTTTTGGCCGATGATTTTCAACAACTGGGGGGAGGGGTATTAACTTGTCCTTTTTTTCTTCCTTGAAAACAGACTGGGAACGCGATAGCTGAAGGGCGATCGAACATCCTGGACCACCACGAGGCGGACAGAGGGAGCATATTAGGAATAATGCTGTGGGAGGGGGTGCCACGATGCAAGGGCAGCCCCCACATCCACTGCCTCGCTGGCCACTTCCAAGGCCATGAAACAGAAAGGCTCACAGACCAAAGTTCCCTGAGTTCCATGATTTATTTAGTTTTATTGCATTAATCTTAAACATACAGCAGGATATGAAGGGAAAGAGGCTAGGCAAGTTGTCACATTTCAGATAGATTGCAAACAGGGCACATTCACAGGACTTCAATCTTGGATTTGTATTTCACCTGTTTCTCCCTCCCCTTCCCTCCTTCCTCTCCCTCCTTCCTGCTGGTGAGTTTCTTCTCTGCTGAGGGTGGAACTGAGAACCCGGTCTGAGGGGCCAAGAGGCCCAGCAGACGGGGGCTGTGTACCTGGCCCTGCATTTCCGCAACAGAGCAAACCTGTTGGATCAAATAACTACAACCTGCTGCTAACTGCAGTCCATAAGCTGAAACTGGAACTCAACCCATTTCTGTATTTCCTGTTTGCTGTCTCTTCCCTTGCCATCTTCCCCTACTCCACCTTCCCTCCAGAACTGCCTCCAGGGAAGCTGAAACTTGAAGGTTAAGTCAGTGCAGCTTTGGCCAGGAAGTGGACCTGCAGAGGATGCTGCGCCCCGTCTTAGCTTGGTCACTGTTTATCCATGTTAGAGGATGAGCCCTCTGAGGACAGCGCGCTGGCCTTTTACTAGTACCCGTCACTTTCTGAATCTCAGACTCCCAGTAAGAGAATGCGAGCCCTAGTCCTTCCCCTGAGCACCTCACTTTGAGAACCCCGGGCTCGCAGAGCGGGTAGGCAACTCTACCCCGGGTCCGTGATCCCACAGAAGGGCCCATGAGGGTGGACTGAAGAGGCCAGCGTCACAGGAACCGGTACGCTTGTTAATCCAGGTCTTTGGAAAATTCACAGCTGAACCTGTATGGTTGGTTCTCAGCCTGTTCAAGGGGAGACCGACCAAGCAAAGAAATTTCCCCAAAGAGGCCTTGTTCTCAGCCTGTTTCAGGTTTCCCTCTTCTCCTTGTGTAACCAGAAAAGACACCGGCGTTCGGGCTGCCTGTCACTACCAAACCCAATCAGCAATGACAGCGATTGAATCTTTGTGGGCGCTTTATTCAGATGGCCGGCGATCCGAGAAGACGGAGGGTTCATACCCTAACAGACCATCTTCCCTTCTCTTTCCCGGCCAGATCTTTTACAAGGGGGAGGGGGAGGGCAAACAAGGCGCCGCGAGGGCTTTGAGATTCAGGGAGGATTTGGTGAGGGAAGCTGCAGCCGTCCTGTTCTGGGCACTTAGCTGTTCCCAAAGGGCGGGGGGTGGGGGTGGGGGTTGGTTGGCCACACAAAAGGCCTTGATGCCTCCAACATGTCCCCAGGTGGTAATCTCTAACCAGTGCCCCAGGAGGTCGGCTGCTTTTCCAAAGAGCCAGGATGGGCCTTATCTATAGTTTCTGAAACAAAAGTTTAACATACACATTACTTGCTACACTTAGTTTTTAGCCTTAAGCTAACATTTTCCAAGTCTTGAGTCCCCTATCACTTTCTCTTGTAAAACCCAGTTGCTCTGTTTTCAAAGCAGTCTACAACGCCTATTACTTGCAGAAGAAAAGTTTGAGCTCCCGTCCCCACCCAATCCCTTACACTTAAACTAATCTCCTCCGGTGTATGCTATCATATTGTGCACAATATTGGTCTGTAAAGACTGCTCCTTTGAAAGGATTTTAGTCTAACAGATCAGAGCCAACTCTGACAACAGCATCCCGCACTAGAGCTCTTTACGCGAAAACGTGAGTGGCTCTGAAAAGAGCCTTTGGGGTTGGGAGGCAAGCGGCTTCCCCGCGCGTCTACTTGGAGCTGGTGTACTTGGTGACGGCCTTGGTGCCCTCGGACACGGCGTGCTTGGCCAGCTCCCCGGGCAGCAGCAGGCGCACGGCCGTCTGGATCTCCCGCGACGTGATGGTCGAGCGCTTGTTGTAGTGCGCCAGGCGCGACGCCTCGCCCGCGATGCGCTCGAAGATGTCGTTCACGAAGGAGTTCATGATGCCCATGGCCTTGGACGAGATGCCCGTGTCCGGATGTACCTGCTTGAGCACCTTGTACACGTACACCGAGTAGCTCTCCTTGCGGCTGCGCTTGCGCTTCTTGCCGTCCTTCTTCTGCGCCTTGGTCACGGCCTTCTTGGAGCCCTTCTTCGGGGCGGGCGCGGACTTGGCTGGCTCGGGCATGATGCAGAGCTTTCTGAGAGGAAACTCGCAGAGTGAAACTTGAGTCCGAGGCTCGCCTATATTTGTAGGGCTTCTATGCAAATAGGTGCTTAAGCCAACTCACTCACTGATTGGTTGAAATCACCCAGTAGCAACCTTCCAGGCAATCATGGAGATTTCAAATCTACTTACTCACTGGCTGTTTATGAGGAAGTGGCCTGAACTCTTTTCCTCCCTTAGAAAAGTTTTCATATTCACAACAGTGCAAAAAAAAACCTAATGTTTTGACAATCATATCTATTTATGACCCTTGTCTCTCCCTCAAAAGAGATCTAAACAGACAGAGTGATATAAATTCATGCCAGTATCTTTCCTGTCAAATTAGTCACTGGGTTGGTAATAATGAAAAAGCAGCTGGAACTTAGCTGTATGTTGCAATACGCTCAAAATTATGCTATTGAGACTCCAAGGTTGTCTATTCAAAGCTGGCAACCTGTCAGCTTTCTCAGACTCAAAGAACTGCCACACTTCCAGCGCGATAGGGTGTTTGTCCTTGGGAATGGAGTGTCTGAAGCGATGCCAGTGTTGGTAGGAAGGTCAGAAATTGTGCGACAGGGTGCTTGTTAGTATGAAATAAAGCGTCTGTTGAAATTCAGAAGTTTTCTTAAAGGACCAGACGGGACAGGATTGAATATATTCAGACGTGGAGGTTTTAAGATGGTTCAGAAACCCTGAAACTTACATATTTCGCTCTTTCCAAAGTTAATCTCCCAAAAAGAAGATTAAGGAAGTTATTCAGGAGATTAAACAAAACCATTTAAGGAATGCATACAACTGTTAAAATACAGGGTGGATCAAGGGCGGAGTACTAAGTTAGAAAATAACAGCGCTTTCAATAGGTGATTTTTAAAGAGCTGGCAGCCAATCACAAGGCCCATTTAGTTACTGAATTCGTGGCGCGAAATTTGAACACTCAGACCAATCAGGTGGAGTTTGACGTTATAAATAGGAACCAGAACAGGAACGGCTTCAGTTGTGAACTTCGTTTGCAATCCCTAACCATGGCCAGAACCAAGCAAACAGCTCGTAAATCCACCGGCGGGAAGGCCCCGCGCAAGCAGCTGGCCACCAAGGCCGCCCGCAAGAGCGCGCCGGCCACCGGCGGCGTCAAGAAGCCGCACCGCTACCGGCCCGGCACCGTGGCCCTGCGCGAGATCCGCCGCTACCAGAAGTCCACCGAGCTGCTGATCCGCAAGCTGCCCTTCCAGCGCCTGGTGCGCGAGATCGCGCAGGACTTCAAGACCGACCTGCGCTTCCAGAGCTCGGCCGTCATGGCGCTGCAGGAGGCGTGCGAGGCCTACCTGGTGGGCCTGTTCGAGGACACCAACCTGTGCGCCATCCACGCCAAGCGCGTCACCATCATGCCCAAGGACATCCAGCTCGCGCGCCGCATCCGCGGGGAGCGGGCGTAGGCGGTCCCCATCGACTGGTGGTGACCTTGAACCCAAAGGCTCTTTTCAGAGCCACCTACACTTTCAGTTTGAAGAGCTGTGAGCAAAGAAATGGTATCTGCCTGCAAAAGAAGGGTATGGAGGATGGGTTGTAGGTGAGGCAGCTGCGTGTGAATGGCGCTGTGACCGCCCAGCTCCCTGGTCCCCCCTAGGTCCCCCTTCCGGAGGCACCGTGGGCGGCGTTCTCTCTCAGCCGTGTGTGTGGAGCAGCGGTCTCAGCCGGAGCGCGCGGGCTGGCGGTCCGTGATTCAGCAAAACAGCCTGGTTTCTACGTGATTGGAACGGGCCAATGGGCTGCCCGTTATGTAGTAGCTTTGAAAAGAGTGGTTTTAGAAGTTGTCATTTTAAGGTGGGAGGCAGGGAATGCACAATTAAACACATCAGAAACGTGATGGCTTGGGAAAGAAATAACAAAATCCTAGTATCAGAAAGACTTTAATAGCTTTATTTGTAACAGCCCTCAGGTAGAAGCTCCTGTGTCCACTGACCAATAGTGATTAGCTGGGGACGAGGAAGGGTGGTGGTTGCGGGGGAGGGGACACAGGCCACACCTGACAGGCCCAGGGCGGCCTGCGTGGCGGCCTTACCAGCTTCGGGACCTAAAGTAACCAGGTAGGACGGCCTGAAACGAAACACTTTCTACCTGGAAGTGAGTTGCGTTGGGTGGTCCTGTCCCAGGCCCCTATGTTCCCTGACAGAGGCCAGTCTTTCCCTTGGTGACCCAGCCTGTGGTCTGTTTTCTCGGCAAGAACAAAGCTTCTGAGTGTTGGGGTAATTGCCTTTCTCCCGGGCCCTCAGGGCACCGTCCCTGCAGCGGGGCAGCGGAAACCGCAGGTCCCCTCCCTCGTGGTTATTGTCATCGTGTTAATGGTTGAACGTTAACTATCAAATACTCACAAAGGAAAAAAAAACTTGGCTTTTTGCTTGACTTTTTTACACCCCCCCCCCCCATTTCCCAGCTTTGCTTTCGCCCTCCTCCCTTATCCATCGCCTACGCGTTTCCGGTAATCCCCCTAAATATTCTCTGATTCTGAAGTGTAAAATAAGTGCTAAACCTGCCCCTTTCCGGGGCATTTTCTCAATCCACTGAGATGTTTTTGGGGGTTTTTTCCTGACAACTGTCGTCACTTTGGCTGAAATTAAATCATAAAAATTCTCTGCAGGTTTCATCGTCCCTTACATTTACAACACAGATTCTCATTCCTGGATACAACTGAATCCCACTCAGCAGTAAAAACGCAATGTACCGATACAATGTAACAACCTACCTAGACCTCACGTGCCTAACGCTGAGCTGGGGTGGGAGCCATTTTCAAAGGTTACATATTGTCTGATTCCATTCACAAGGCATTCTCAAAGTAACAAAACCAGAGATGGATACTAGAGGAGTGACTGCCCCAGGACAGGGAAGAGGTGGGTCTTCATGAGGCTGTAAAGGGGGAGCTTTGTATCTGCATCAGCGTGCGGGTTACTTGACTCTCTCCATGCGGTGGGATTGCACGGAGCTCTCGCCTGTGACAAGGAGGAGACTGCATAAGGCAGGCGTGTCAAACTCATTCTCACCGGGGGCCGCATCAGCCTCGGGGTTGCCTGCAAAGGGCCGAATATAGCGCTCCTTGCCCCTGGCTAAGGAGCAGTGACATTTATACAGCCTAAAATTACATTTGGCCCTTTGCCGGATGTAATTACAAACAAAACAATGTGATTTTTATTTCATATAAACAGCAGAGTTTTTCTCTTTTTTTCTGGCTGTTCTAGTGGTGACATCCATTTGGCTGAATTTTGGTTCATTTATGTTGATACCTGTTTTGGGAGATATTGCTACTCTTATGTCAAAAGTAAACTGAGTTTCAAAGTGATATTTGAATGTTAATTTTTTGATGTAGTAACGGGCCAAACTGATTAGGACAGTGAGTTTGGGGATCCACCAAGGTGCTATAGGTGCTGTGTTGAGGGAGAAAACCCACAGGCCCTAAATGGTGTCGCTTGTGCTAAAATCCCTAGATTTGGTACCTGATCTAATTGCAGTTTCAGTCCCTCCCAGAAACGATCATAATGGACAAATCTGGAATTTTCTGGTCAAGCCCCAGTAAGGTAACCCGTCCCCTGGGCCCTCTCCATCCCCCTGAGAGAGGTGAGGCAGTCTGTGCGATGAAGCCCTCCTGTTCGCTTTCACCAAAGAGAAACCCTTTCCGTTCTTTTGCTAATAGCTCGCCTGCCCCACCCTCGCCCCTATAAAAGCTCTCCCCTTTGTAAGGCCCCTCTGAGGCCCCTTCTAGTTGTGAGTGGGATACCGCCTGGTTCGTGAGCTGGATAAAAAGCCAGTTAGATCTTCAAGTTTCCTCAGCCGAATTTTGTTTATAACAACAGTAAATACCATCTCTTGTTTTGAACATTGTATTATATTCTAAGGCCATCATTTATATCTTAATGCTCTCATGTTTTATGTCGGCTCAACAAGTTTTCTAAAATAATGCAAATACAAAAAAGCAAAAAAAATAACGCAAACATCTACAAACGACTGCACTTGTGTCACTGTGGTTTGCATAAAGTTGCTTTCCCTAGCTTTAGAGTCCAGGACAGCGCTGCTGGAAGTGAATTTCCGGCACCCGGCCCAGGGGAGGATGAGCACCCCCCCCCCGCCCCCCGGCCCAGCCCTGGAGACGAACAGGGCCCCAGCCCCTGGCACTTTACATCCTTTTCCTCCGAAGTCCTTCCTTGTTTAAAGGGACGCGATCAATGTGCTCAGCTTACAGTGCACTGGACGCGCCAGTGTTGTCCTGGGAACATTTTCAAAACCTTCCAGGAGCTTTCGTCCTAAGTCGGGCGACAGCAACTTGCTGTGTAAGCCAGGCAGTTTGCTGACAGTAACACAATTATTAACGAGTATCGATCCTTTTTTAGGACGAAGGCCACTGAAACTCAGGCTAACAAACAGGCCCAATAACGGCTTGACGGCGGCCGCTCGGGGATTCCAAACCCAAAGCCAGGCTGGGTTGCTTGGCAACAAACTTCCCATTTCCTTTGTGTCTCGGGGTTTGGACTTGTTTCAGTGCCAGTGGGGAAATGATCCAAGAATAATACCCCTGGGATGGATAAATCCCGAAACACACACATAAACGAGGTGATTTCTTTTGTGTGCACGGTAGACACTCCTGTTTAGAATTTTATTTTTTAAACGCCAGAAATTCTCCCCTGCTCGGCGGGGGCGGGGCCAAGGGCGGTTTCCCGCCCTTTCCGGTCTGGTTCAAACCGGGCCCGCCCAGTTGTTACTTAAGAGGCTGCGGCGGCGCCTGTGGGGACAAACGTCTCAGCGTCTTCTCCTGCACCATGTCTGGCCGCGGCAAAGGCGGGAAGGGGCTCGGCAAAGGCGGCGCCAAGCGCCACCGCAAGGTGCTGCGCGACAACATCCAGGGCATCACCAAGCCCGCCATCCGGCGCCTGGCCCGCCGCGGCGGCGTCAAGCGCATCTCCGGCCTCATCTACGAGGAGACCCGCGGGGTGCTCAAGGTCTTCCTGGAGAACGTGATCCGGGACGCCGTCACCTACACGGAGCACGCCAAGCGCAAGACGGTCACGGCCATGGACGTGGTCTACGCGCTCAAGCGCCAGGGCCGCACCCTCTACGGCTTCGGCGGCTAAGTCACATTTTATCAGCATAATCTCGCTTCCTCCAAAGGCCCTTTTCAGGGCCGCCCACCCCCTCCTGGGAAGAGCTGTGCGTCCCCTTTCTTGCTCGGGTGACTCTGCAAACACGTTTCCTTGGGGTCGGTGTCAGCGCGGTCTCAGCGATGGCGGCTCCTCCGTAACAGGCCTCAGTCTGGGCAGGGGCCACGCGCGGGGGGCGCCCTCGGCTCCACGGGAGGGAGCGCAGCCGGGCTGGGGGTGGGGGTGGGGGTATGGCGGGAATAGGGAAGCAGGCCTGAAATGTGGCGGCCCCAGCTCGCCCCGGCCCCGTGCGGGTGGAGCGAGCTGCCGAATCCCAAGGTCTTTCTCTGGCAGTGGCCCCGCCCGCCCTTTGTCCCCTGTGAAGGGTCGCGTTCCGCCTGGCTCGCCAGGAGCGCCGGCAGGACCCGAGCCTCGTTTCAGCCGGGGGGTGGGGGCGGGGCGAGGTGGTTCCGTGACGGTGCAGTTCACGAGTCTGCGAGGGTGGTGCCGCCGCCCGCAGGAACCCAGAACCAGTGAAACAATTGCCGCAAGGAACGCTAGGTGCCAATTCCTAATTTGCCCGGGGAGAGAGAGGCCCGGTGTGGCTTCCCTGACACCCGCCCCTCAAGGAAAAGGTGGGCTGGGCTAGAGAATAACCAACTGAGGCTGCTGATTGCCAAGCTCAGGCCGGTGCCTCCCCACGCCCGAGGCCAAGGTGTTCTAGGCTTCGGTGGACTGACCCGGGGGTCGGAGATCTGACTCGGGCGTGTAACTTCCTCTGGGCGCCGAGCCCACACTTTGCATGTGGAGGGGGAGCTTGCAGCGGGGTCACAGGCTCTCTGCCTCCCCCATCCCCCCTAAGGACCGGCTCATCTTCATCTTACCTCTGCCTTCTGTACATCGTAAGGCTGTTTCCTCATTTTTGTTTTAGTTACGGACCATTCAAACACTAGAATGTTTATTAAAAGTTTCTTTTATATAAAGTATGTCCTCAAATTGATACATCAGCCAATCAGCAATTTCCATTTTTGATTTAATGCTTCAGAAAAGTATTTTTATTTAATTTTCTTGTTTGTTTTGAGAAAACTTTATAAGGAGACTGAAGTTTATCATTCTCAAGCCATGTCTAACATCTGAGAAAATGCTATTTATATAAAATAATATAGATTAAAAATGCATAGTGTTTGAGCCCTGGCTGGTGTTGCTCAGTGGATTGAGCACAGGCTGTGAACCAAAGTGTAGCAGGTTCGATTCCCAGTCAGAGCACATGCCTGGGTTGCAGGCCACAGCCCCCAGCAACTGCACATGGATGTTTCTGTCTCTCTCTTTCTCCCTCCCTTCCCTCTCTAAAAATAATAAATAAAGAAAATCTTTAAAAATATGCATAGTGTTTTTTTAATCGAACAAGAGCCCCAGGTTTCAGACAAGTAAGTTTGGCATCGAGTTTGCATGGCACAGTGTTTGCTCTTCCCCAGAGAGCCAGCTCAGAGGCCAACACGGCACTGTCCTCCCTGAGACAAGGGTCGCTGGCTTCTCAGGGAGATGCCTCCGCTGCCAGTTGCTCTGCTGAGGTCCCTTGGTGGCACCGGAGGAGTCCGAACCTGCAGCTGGGTCGCCGGTGGACCTCGGACGGCTGCAGCGCTGCGTGGGGACAGATGTCCAGGAGTCTCGCTTCTCATCACGTCTACTGTATGGCAAGGGGGGGAGGCGCTCTCGACACGGCAACATCTCTCTTATGTTTGGAAGGCTAGAAACAGGTAACACGGATCACTCGGCCCTTAGATAGTCTGATGTGTAGGTTTTCTGTGCAACTTTAATAAAAGAGAATAAGAGAGTAAGCCGTTCTAAGGTACAATTCTGCACATATTAAACTCATTTGACACTCCAAGCCACCCTAGGAGACAGACATCAGTGTTGTTACCTGAAGTCTCAGGGACTTGGGCCCCTGAGTGCACGGTGCTTCTTTTTTGCCCAGCGCCCAGGTAAAAACAAACAAGTCTTTCCACGCTACATTCTTGGAGTTGGGGGGGGGGGCGGTTAATGTTCCCTAGCCTTTGTAGAGCAGTCAGATGCTACCTCTACCCTCCCAGCGTTCTTCGCTGGGCCTGAGAGTTAAACTGTCACAGGACTGAAGGGGACCAGAGGAGGTCATGCCCAGATGGGCCACGTTGGCCTGTGAATTATTTTGATTTCAAGGCAATGACGACCCAGCAGACTCAGAAAAAAAAAACTTTCGTGCCTGAAAGAATGTAGATAGCGGGCTGCCCCAGAGAGAGAGAGCCATGAACAGAGTCAACTGGGATCTGAATGACCTCAGGGCAACCTCCTGATCCCCAGCCCCGGGCTGTCCTCCTCCTGTGAACTGCCCTCCTCCCCGTTGGCGCCCAGGCCCCCTCTGGTTCCTTAGCTCAGGACAGCAGACCAGTCTCAATTGCCCGACGCCTTTGGGTCTTATTTTTTTTGGTGCTTTTGTATGTACAAAACTAAAGTTGTTGTTCTCCTGTTAATCTGTCTGATGTGAACTTGACAGTTAGACCAGCCAAAGAACCCAGAAGGCAAGACAGGGAAATTTTCCCCCCATAAAAAGACACATGAACGGGAGAAAAGCACGCAAGAGTGCCTCATATAGAGGTTGCCTGAGCCGGGCACCCTCAGAAGGAAAGGACGACATTGACAAGTCGTGTGACCTGACTGCGGTGGGCTGGAGTGACCTGGGGAGGGGGGCAGGGAGCATGCAGGCAGAGCCCTGGCAGGAATGTGGGGCCCGCGCGGGACCCTGACGATGGCGCGGGGAGGCAGAGCTTTTCTGCACTCTCTAAGGATGTGCAGCTGGGCCTGAGAATTCAATGGACATGCGATGGATTAACAGGACAAGAGCATAGAAATGTTGTTTAATATTTCTCTCATGTATAGGGGAGTCTTCACAGGAAAGTAAAGAGCCCAAAGGGGATTAGGCCTTTTTTCCTAGGCTAACCAGAGTAGCATTGTCAAACAGTGACTGAAACATATGGGCAGACTGCAGGAAGGTAAGGCCTGTTTAACAAGGTCTGTGGGAGCAGCTTCCACTTGGCCTCAACTCTCCCTTTCAGGATGCCCTTTGCTTTCTGGTTCGGAGAAGGCACGTTCTGCAGGGGCCCATTACCCACCCTGAGGAAGGAAAGGTGGGCTCAGAGCCCTACTGTTGCACCTTCTTCATTTCCGCTGTCTGTAACTCAAAATAATCCTTGTGCCCAAGTGGCATGTTTTAAAGTGGCATATTCCGCCACCTCGCAGGATGCTCGGTTCTTCTCTGGGCGCCTGGATGGCATCTCACCATGCACAGCACACTGGGACAGAGCCGGCTCGGGGGGACCTACGGAGTGACGGGAGCAGCCCTCAGGAGCCAGCTCACTGGGGAGAACCGGAAACAGAGGCACGGGGCCCACAAAAGCTACCGGAGAGGAACCTCCCTGGGAGGATCCAGGGAGGAACCAGGAGGGCAGAGGATCTGGTCGGGGGAAAGGTGCCGTGCCACTTTGCGAGGAGACCGTGAAGGCAGGAGCAATACACGGGGCCAGAGGCAGCATAGATTACATCCTTAGTATAATTTGACATTTGGAAATTAATAAGCCACTGTTCACCTTGGCAAGTATATTTGTTAGTGAGTGATTGGGACAGAAATCATATAGTCATAATGCCCGAAGTATTCAAGCTTTGAAAATTTGACAACATAAGAAGGATCTAACTAGTCACTGACAGGGTTGTAGGCCAAGTTGAGAGACACTGAAATATATTTATATACGGGGTGGGGTAAAAGTAGGGTTACTTGTTTGTATGGAAAATAAAACAGTAGTTAACAAATAATACAAGAATGAAGTTTCACATGCTCACAACTGTAAACCTACTTTTGTCCCACACTGCATGGAAGGAAAGGAGCCAGGAGAATATTAACAATTTAAGTTGGGATGTCGTTATGGCTGCAGTTGGATGACGAACGACTTTATTGTCCAACCAAGTAAGTTACTGTTAGTGGACGGCACCCCCATAAATAACTATCCTAAGACGCTGAGCAGGTGGACTGGGCGAGCTTTCACTGGGGGCTTAAATGGCACAGGTAAAGGAAGGGTCTAGAACACAGGTGCAGGGTGAGCAGGACTCGGCCTAAACACCGCCTCTTCTGCCTGGGGGGACACGGAGAGCAAGGAGGCAGGCCCGGTCACCGAGCGAAGGCCGTCGGTGGACAGAACACACGGAAGGAGGGCTTAAGTGAACCACCAGTTTTGGAAATACAGCAGTAAGGTGAGCGATGGCCTAAGTCAGGCTAGAGTTGCGCGTCCTGGGGAATGCTCTGAGTGAGACAAAAATAAAGACTCTTCCAGGCGTGACTTTTGCTCTCAGCCCAACCTCTGCCCGCGGCTCCCGCAGGGTGCCCCCCCGGCAGGGAGGCTCGCGTGAAGCGCGCGCGCCCCCTACAGGACACCGAGTGGCGGGTCGGCGCAGCCTCCGGGGAAAGTGAATTTCAGTGCCCCCGGGCATACAAGGAGACCAATTAGGAACATTCAAGTTGTGTAATCGCTGCCATTCCAAAGGCTGCTTGCGCCGGGGGGAAACACACCCGGGCGTTCCCCAACGCCTGGGGACACGCCGCCTTCCCCGCCCCCGCAAGTTGCTTTGTCCTTTGGGCTCGGCTGAGAGCCGCCATCTTAGCCACGGCCGCGACTGGAAAATGGCCGCAGGCGCAAGCCCGCCGGACTTTGCAAAGAGCCACTTTCTGGCTTAAAAGTTACAATCGCAACAGCACCCCGACACAAAGCAACAAGCACTACCTTCAGGTCTGGTTGTCACTAACAGCCCTTCGTGTGCCCAAGTGGGTGGCCCTGAGAAGGGCCTTTGGTGGACGAGCCGGGGCCGCAGGGCGAGGGGCGAGGGCGGCGGGGACGCTCAGCCGCCGAAGCCGTAGAGCGTGCGGCCCTGGCGCTTGAGCGCGTAGACCACGTCCATGGCCGTGACCGTCTTGCGCTTGGCGTGCTCCGTGTAGGTGACGGCGTCCCGGATCACGTTCTCCAGGAAGACCTTGAGCACCCCGCGGGTCTCCTCGTAGATGAGGCCGGAGATGCGCTTGACGCCGCCGCGGCGGGCCAGGCGCCGGATGGCGGGCTTGGTGATGCCCTGGATGTTGTCGCGCAGCACCTTGCGGTGGCGCTTGGCGCCGCCTTTGCCGAGCCCCTTCCCGCCTTTGCCGCGACCAGACATGATGAGCAGTAGCCGATGATCACCGTCCGCTACCGCAGCGCCGGCTGCAGCCGCTTATATAGGACCCCAGCGTGCGATTCCGGAAGCGGGGCGCGCGGGGGGCGGGACTCGCGCTCGCGTCCGGCTCCTTCCTGTTTCCTCGCTGCAGCCCGGAGCGGCTGCTGTCTGCAGCCTCCGGTCCCGGGCCTGTGCGTGGTGGCGATCATTGGTACCGCACAAGGGTCCCGATCACTAGAACCAATTTATAAAAAGGGGGGAGTAACGCAACGCTTATCTACGAAAGGGAGGGATACCAGAATAAAATTAAGTTTAAATGCAAAGACCCTTTCAAATATATATGAAGTATTGATATTTACAGCTCTAGCAATACAGAATTTGGCGGGTCGTGGGAGCGTCTCATTTGCAGAGCATAATGATGCGCGTCGTCTGCAGCATTCCTTAGAAGGAGCTCTAGAAGGGGAAGTAATGTTAGTTGAATTTTCACTTTTCGCTCCCAGATTCGGAAAGCATTATTTGCGTTGTAAAAACGAGGAATCCCAGGCTTGGAGAACTAACCTGTCCTAGTCTGGGGTGCTGCTGGGGAGAACTGAGGCCCATGATTCTGGATTTCCGTGACCTTGCCACTTGCAACTGATCTATGCGTATACAGAACTGAAGGTATATCATTGTGAATAAAAGTTTGCAAAGTAACAGCATTAAAAATGACACGAATAAGCGCTGTGACATACTGTCCAAGAAAAAACCCACCAAAGTGATGTTCTGTACACAGACGATGGGGTGCCTTGTTTAGCGGACAAATGCGGCCCCTCGCCGCACACCCACACGGGTCCCCTTCTGTCTACTGCACAGGTGACTCCTTAAAACCCCACTCTAGGGTGCTCGCCATGGGCGCGGGCAGCAGAGGAACCATTTCCTCCCCACAGAGACCGAAACACAGACTCAAGCAGAGTTAGATACTGGGATTGCCCAGGTTCACCTTTCTGAAAAAGCACAAACAAGAATCATTTGTTGATTGACTGATGGATCAACTCAATGATTCAGGGTCAACTCTATGCCTAGAATAGTGCACAAACACCAGATTTACAATGACAAACACTTTTTGGTTTGCGTTGCTTTTTCTTTCTTTTTAATTTTGAGGTATGTTGAATAAAGCTGGGGACAGCGAGACAAGGGAGGGTTTAGAATAGAAGAGGCAGCAGGAGAGAGTGTAGGTGGGGCCACAGTTGGCTCTGATGGTCGCAGAAAAGGGGGCCTTGGGGACGAGTTCAGGGGGTTGGGCTGGGTGGAGCTGCGGCTGCCCGTTGCTCCCCTGCTTGAAGTCTCATGGGAACCCTCAGTTTAGGAGATGCACACCTGACAGGTAAGAAAGGCGTGGGTGTGCTCCTGGGAGGGAGAGTACGCCAACGAACACGTTCTTTTAAAGAAACGGTCAGGTCGGGGGGAGAGAAAAGTCAAACCCGGGTGAGAGGTGAGCTGGAGTCAGCTCCCCAGGCTCCTGGTTCTGCCTGGAAGTGAAGGGAGGGGCAGCTGCGTGACGGCATCACCGGGCAGCTTGTCCGGCTCAGTTCCGAGGACAACCCCACATCCACTGAAGTGGCATTTTTAACGAGGTCTCCCAGGGGGAGGCTGGTGCATGCAAGCGTGGGGGGGGGAGCTGTTGCAAAGCGGTGCTGTCCTGCATTAGCCACGAGCCACGCATGATCCTTTCAATTTAAACCAATTAAACTTAAATAACATTGGATATTAGTGTCTTCAGTTAGCCACAGGGAGGCCCTCTGACAGCACAGCCCCAAACTGTTTCGATCACACTGAGCTCCGCTGGGCTGGGCTGGGCTGAGACAGAGCATCCCTTCCAAAGAGCTGCTAATGCAGACTGCGGACAGCAGGGCGGGGGAACCTGAGATGAAGTGAAGACTGAGCTTTTTTTTTTTTTTTGAGGTGCACTAGAAATTAGCCAACTTCTAGGTGCTCCAGGTGTTACACATAGTGAGACAGTGAGAGATGTGTGAGGAGAAGACTGCAAGTTTGAGCGCAGTGGCCTTTTTAGGAAATAAAATTAATAAGGTGTAGCAGTGCTTGGAGGGAAGTTTCCAGTGGGAGAGCGTCCTCCAGTGAGACCGTCCGAAAGGAAATGACAGCAGATGTGGTTCCTCACGGCCCTTTTGGACACGGTTCATTTGAACACAGGCCTTGTCTGCTACACAGCCCTCAGGTCTTCGTCTCCCCTTTCCTTCTTTATTCAGTGCAGTGCCCACCCCCCCTGCCCCCAACAAAAAAACTTTGCCGCTCACTTCAGCACAGCCCCGGTGACAGACCCAGTGACACTGGCTGCGTCTCTCACCGCCACGCACCCTGGCAGAGGAGGTGGCCACCACCACCGAGAGAGCGTGAAGGCAAAAGCGAGCTCTCTGTCACGTGTCTGTCGTTTGTCTCTGCTACTTTGCACATCCTAGCACTGTGGGAAACCCAGTGTCCTGAGACATACACAGGTTGAGGATTCAAAAGGAAAAGCACAACTTTCTTGGTGGCTACCAAAATACAAGGGGTAAGTTCTCAAGTTCACAGCCGCCTGCGGCATAGTCCAGCTTTCAGGAACTTCGTCTGTGCTACACACAGGCTGAGCCAGGGTCTCGGCAGCTGCAGGAACTGCCTGCGGCACGGCCCCTCCGCTCCTAAGCATCTGGAAGAACCCTTCCAGTGAAAGCGTTTATCTCGATTACTTCCCTCCAGGTAGGACGGTGATTAACTACAAACAGTTAAGGAACTAGCCCGTAGTTCCAACGTCTTCTCCCTGCTTGCGGCCTACATAACCAGAGGAAGCAGTGACTTGCACAGGAATGAAATGGGGTGTCTGCCGTGGAGGGCACTCTTCACCCATGGTATATCAAGTACGTGCAGCGTACGGAACACTTCCAGCACTTACCAACATCTGATAGCAGGGCTCCAGGGATAACCCAAATAGTGGACTTTAAAAAAAATTGATTTTTCATTTTATCTTTAGGGCTGGGTCATAGTAGGCTGTCCGCTGGAAAGGAAAGGGGCCTATAACATGTTTGTGGTCACTGCTGCTGACAATGATGCTGCTGAGGACGACAGCTCCTTCCTCTAGACACCCACGGACCCCTGCCTGGGGAGAACAGAGCCCACGACCCAACCCTGCGAGCGCACCCTGTACACACAGTGTTTGTGTGGGGTACGCCACGGGGCCTCCAGTCCCAGAGACGCAGTTTCCGTCAGTGCCTGCCGGCAAAGGACTATTTAAAAACAAGCCAAGAGATTTTTATGAAGTTAGTTAACTGTGACACCTTTAAAGTTGATTCTTTGATCGTGGTTTTATAGGAGAAAGTTCTCAAATTGCAATGAATGCAAGTTAGGATAACTAGATTTTTGGAAATAGGGGTATTTATCAGAAGAAACATGAGACTCCAAATACTTTTCTTGTCTATTGAACAAACATGAGGCTTAACTTCAGTGTCCGGTGATTTGGTGGATGACGTTAGTTTGTGGTTACTGATCAATATTTACTGAATTCTGTTCGCTCTGCCGTGCTGTGAAGATGGGCTGGGAAAGTCAGCACGCTCGTGATGACGTGTCGGTTCAGCCTCTTCCGAGGACACTTTCGGCAAACAGGTTCAGGCTGTGACCCTCCGGTTCACGTTTTGTTACTAAAAAGCCCAGGGAGAACTGTGAACATTCAGACTGTGACTTCAATGAGCATTTTTTCTTTCTACTTCCCTGTGTCCCTGCTTGCAATGTCAAAAAGGTCAAATCACGTATATCTTTAAAACAACATCTCGAAATATAGGAAATAATGCACGACACTCTGTGCTAAATTAGAGGAAAACCCTGATGGCTAGGGTGTCTGTCATTAACTCATTTGCAGTTCTAAGGCGATGGGATAGAAAACACGTGATCTCCCGGGCTGCTTGGGCTCGCAGCCGGTAACCTCACCGTTACTCTGGTGCTTTGTGGCCCTTCTTGGCGGAAAGGGTGGTCGTGCTGTAGTGCCCGCTGTAGGTCTGTAACACGGGCGAGACTCCTTTTTCAGAGAAGGCTGGTGACCAGTTCCAGGCTGGATATTCAAAAAAACGCGGGGAGCAGCCTTATCCCCATCCTTTCTACAATGTTCAGATCACCAAGAGCACTGGGATCAAGCCCGTTTACGCACTGGTCGCTCCAACACTTGAAGATAAAACATCTTCTCTGAAACAGCTGTCCATCGCCCCTGCGGGGTTTACTCCCGCGCCGCCAGTTCCCAGCGCTCGGGGCCACTCGCTCGGGCTGTGCTACTGCTCGCACGGAAAACCCGGTTTTTCTTTTATATTTGAGTAGACACGAGTTCATTTACATAAAGTTGCGAAGAAAAGAATGTGTAGAACTATGTCCTGGAAAAAATATTTGCAAAGAAATCAGAGAGAAATAGTATTTTTAAGGAAAATCTGCAAGTTGCCCCCGTTTGACGCAAGTTTCAGAGAGAGTTGGGGGAGTCGGGACACTTTCTGGGCGCCGGCTGAGGCAGGAGGCGAGGCAAAGGGGGCAGGGAGGAAGCCTGGAGGCTCTCGGGTCCGTTTCCCCCAAATTCCCAATTATTTCGTGCACAGATTTCTTCCATTTTCCTTCTTTTTTAAGGTGCAGAAAACACAGCTACCCGGCAGAGCGCAGGAGCGCGTCTGGGCAGCGCGGCGCGCGGAGCCGGCAGCCAATCACCTCCCAGCGACTCGCTATATAAACCCCCGCCGCCCGCGCCCGGGCACGCCGCTCTGACAGTTTAAGTCTTTTTTTGTCTTTCCAGGCAAAACAGGGGAAAATGTCGGAGACTGCTCCAGTTGCTCCTGCCGCTCCCGCCCCTGCGGAGAAAACACCTGTTAAGAAGAAGGCGAAGAAAGCCGGCGCCGCCAAGCGCCAGGCGTCCGGGCCGCCGGTGTCCGAGCTCATCACCAAGGCCGTGGCCGCCTCCAAGGAGCGCAGCGGCGTGTCGCTGGCCGCGCTCAAGAAGGCGCTGGCGGCCGCGGGCTACGACGTGGAGAAGAACAACAGCCGCATCAAGCTGGGCCTCAAGAGCCTGGTGAGCAAGGGCACCCTGGTGCAGACCAAGGGCACCGGCGCCTCCGGCTCCTTCAAGCTCAACAAGAAGGCGGCCTCTGGGGAGGCTAAGCCCAAGGCCAAGAAGGCGGGCGCGGCCAAGCCCAAGAAGGCTGCTGGGGCGGCCAAGAAACCCAAGAAGGCCGCGGGGTCAGCCACCCCCAAGAAGAGCGCCAAGAAGACCCCGAAGAAGGCGAAGAAGCCGGCGGCGGCGGCTGCAGGGGCCAAGAAAGTGACCAAGAGCCCGAAAAAGGTGAAAGCGGCGAAACCCAAGAAGGCGCCCAAAAGTCCAGCCAAGGCCAAGACGCCTAAGCCCAAGGCGGGGAAGCCTAAAGCCGCGAAACCCAAGGCTACAAAGGCGAAGAAGTCGACGCCTAAGAAAAAGTAAACTTCCAGAGGCAGGTCCTGCTTTGAAAATCTCAAAGGCTCTTTTCAGAGCCACCCACCAATTTCAGGAAAAGAGCTTAACCGGATACATATTGTGTGTGTGTGTTTTCTTAAAGGTTGCCGGTTCACTTCATGGTGGGGGATGGGGAGGGGCGTGCGCGCGGTTGAAAGGCCCTGCGAGATTGCGGGCACCGTCCTCGTAGGGAGTTGCGCATTTGCCTTCTGGCTCAGGGACAGTGGTCCAACCTCCCCACTTCCCCTCGGCCTTGAGGCACGCGGGACTGGGCGGCAGTGCGGCCGAACCCCGCCTGCCTGCGAGGGTCGCTCCGGCCGGGAGCACGCGGAGCTCCTGGTCGTTGCGGAGGCCCAGCTGCAGGGGGCGCGTCCCCGCCCGGCTTCCCGCGCGCGGACGTGTTAGGGGAGAAAAAGTGCAATTATCCCACATAAGCCAATCTGAGCCGAGGGCTCTTCAAGTCTCCGGGCGCTCCTAAACTGTCCCGCCCCATTGGTTTGCAGAGGTCACGCAGAGCTGGCTAATCAGAACGCAGTCCTGACGCACGTGCATGGGCCCCGGGGCGAGTACCCATTAGAGGCTGAGAGCAAGTCTAGGTCCTGTGAAGCCTGTGAAAAACTTGGATTTTTGTTTCCTTGAGGCCACTGGAGCTCTCTTTGGGGCGAGTATGCACGCTAGTGTTATTCGGCCGACAACTGGGCTGCCACCCCAAGGGCGAGGGTGGCAGGCACAGGGTCACCTCCCTCCTCCGAGGGTTTGTCACTGGCCCTCTCGGCCAGATTTCCTCCCCAGACTGTTGGGAGGACCTAGGGCGCCATGCAGGATCGGCTCTGGGAAGAGGGGTTCGCTTGCCTGTCCCACTGTTTCCACTTCCTCTCTGGGACTGAGGTGTTTTTACTTTTTATTTTAATCTCAGGGAAGCCCACTTAATTTTACTGGTGAATCTTGACAAAACTCTCTGAGTTCTACAGGCCACTTGGGGCTATCTGCTTGGATGGCGGGTTAGCCTTGCTGTCACTTTTGTGGGCAGGCGGCCAGTGCCGGAGGACTCCGCAGTCCCGCCACCTCTCCCGCAAGGCAGGCCCACCGCACACGTGTTTGTATCGCTTTGCGGTCACCGCGAATATCCTGAGACGAAGTTTAGGGTCCTTCTGAGTCCTTGACCGCGATCCGCGTCATTCCTCGCCACTGCTCCTTGTTGTGTGATGTTGTTAGTGAGACACACTATTTTGCGAACTCCAATACACCCATATGTTTTAGCCTTCTACCGTTCCTGTCCTTATGCATTAAGTCTTTAAACACATCCCTTCGAAAAGGTAGCTGCAGGCCTCCGGCTACGCAGGAGCCCCTGGCTGAGTACATCCCCAGGGGACACCAAGGACCTTGTGGCTGGAATGTCCCTTCACTCTATTCTGTGTACAGCACCCACTATTGGACGATAATTGCTTAAATTCCACTACTTAAACTTAGTTTTTAAAAATGAATGTAACCTGTAACCTGGTGAGAAAGTAACCTGTAACCCGGTTACTTTCTAACCGGGAGTTTAATTTTTCCCAGTCTCAGCTGCATCCCATAATTTCTTCCTCCTTTTGTGGGAGTGGCTGGGTTGAGAAAGAAGACCTGGGTAAATGGGGGAATGTGGAAAGAATCCTTTGGGAAAAAAGGGATTGCCCCGAGTAGGAAAAGTGGGCAGACAGCCACAAGCAAGGCCTTTAACACCCAGAATGAGGGAGTGAGGGTTCTGATAAGAGTGATGAGGAGTAAGAGAACTCCGGGGAATCAGACACTCAAACGCGAGATCAGGACGACTCCACGACTTGTTGCCCCTCGCAGTCTACCGGGCACGTTTACGATGGCTTCACTTGAGCGTTGCACTAGGAACGGTTAGTTGAAAGGCTCGTTTTACAACTCAGGGAGCTGTGGTGCACAAAGACGAACTGAACAGAATCACTTCACTAGTGCTTGGCCCGAAAAATTCCAGACCGGCTGATCAAGTTTCTGGTTCTGGGAGGGGTTGAAACGGCTACGGGACCAGGTACTAAACGCGGGTTCAGTGTCTGGGACTCGCCCCCCCCCCAGCTGCCTTCTTCGGTGGCAGCCTCTGCCCCTCGGCGCTGTCCACTTAGCCCAGAGCACAAGCACACCGCCCAAACGCCATGGGCCAGCGCCGCCAAGAGCCCGCCAGAAAAGGAGATCACAAACATCAGACTTCTAGGCCGAGGCAGCGGCCTGCGCAAAACCCTGCATCGACGTAAATGAAGCAGACCTCAGCCAAAGGCCTATGTCCCCACTGCGAAAGCCAGAAGAAAGCGAAAAATTCCCTGCTGTTTATAATAACAACGAACACAAAAACTTTGATTTGTTAAGCAAGTCAGAGAATTCTAAGCAATACAAAGTAGGAATGGCTAAACAATTGACAAAGCTTTTTTTTCCTCCTTTATTAGTTTCCAACAGAGCCCACTGAGCCCAGTTTTCCTTCATGGTGATGTCCTATACAATTACACTATGATATAAAACCCAGACATTTTCATTGCTTTCTCAATGGTTGAGGGTTCCAGGAAATAGGGGGTTATTCAGCTTTATTTGTGCAAAATACCGTCAACTAGACTCCAGGCCTTACGTAGCATCACCAGTTTTACGTACAGGCTCTCCTCTGGGCCTGTGAGCAGACAGCTGTAAGCAACCCCACCCCATGGAGTCTGGTAACTACCAGTGTGATGCAGATACAACACCCACCCCCCCTTTACGGTCACACCCACCCACTTTCCCCTGTCCTGGGGCAGTCACTCAAATGGTACCCACGTCTGGTTTTGTTACTTTGAGGATATTCCCTAAATGAAATCATACAATATGTAACCTTTGAGATTGGCTTTGACTAAGCGTTTTACCCTTGAGATTCAGCCAGGTTGTTACATGTATCAAAATTGCTGAATAGGATTCAGTGGTGTAGATGTAGTAGGATTTGGGTAAGCAATCAATAGAAAGATACAAAATTGTTATGTTGTTTCCGCTTTAAGGCTATTACAAATAAAGGTGTTAATAACTTTTAAGCAGTTATGTTGTTGCTTCTTTCCTCATCCCACTTCCATTTTTGGCTTGCTTCATTTTGTCTTCCTCAATTCCACCTTAAAATGATCTCTTAATGAAGGTAAATTCGTGCTGATATGGCGACTGGGAGCCTGTTCACCTTTTCCATACTCAGGCAGAATTCATTGTGTTGCTATGTCACTTAGCTGTTCTGGGTGTTTCCGAACCTGAACTCTGGCTTCTGCAGCTTCAGACTCGTTTCAGCAAGTCTGCAATTTTGTTGAATAAACGGCTGGGAAGAGCAAGTTCCCTGGTTCCTGCCAGGGGACTTGATTTTACCTCGTGCAGGAGCTATTAGCGCAAGAGCCTCCATTGTTTTCCAATCGCCCCAGGGTAGCGCCTCCCATTTGAGTAAGAACCTCACTAAATCCAAAATTCCTGCACTGCCTGAGGGTCTCACGAAGTTTGCATCTGGAGGAAAGTGGGAAGCTACCTACTCAATGGCTGAGGATTGCAGCAAACAGGGAATAATTCCGCTTTATCTATGCAAGACTTGGGGTCTGGCTTAGTGACAATACCCCGTTTCTCAAGAGGGGCGGGGCCTGGTGCTCGAGGAGCTTACGGTCTTTTGCTGCGGTTGTGAGTTCCTGGCTAGAACTTTGCCTACCCCCCACACCCCAGCCCCCGCGTCATTTCGTGCAGCAATGCTGGCCCAGCTGCACCGTGCAGGTCGCGGCGCGCGCCTCAGGGACAACCAGGTGCACTCGGGAGGACTGGGGGGTGGGGCGGCCGCAGCGCCATCTCCCTGCAGCTGCCGCAGCTACCACCCGCCCTCCCCCACTCTTGGTTTTTGGAGCAGATCCCACTTGCTCACAGCTCCTCAACCTGAGGTGTGGGTGGCTCTGAAAAGAGCCTTTGGGTTCAAGGTCACCACCAGTCGACGGGGACCGCCTACGCCCGCTCCCCGCGGATGCGGCGCGCGAGCTGGATGTCCTTGGGCATGATGGTGACGCGCTTGGCGTGGATGGCGCACAGGTTGGTGTCCTCGAACAGGCCCACCAGGTAGGCCTCGCACGCCTCCTGCAGCGCCATGACGGCCGAGCTCTGGAAGCGCAGGTCGGTCTTGAAGTCCTGCGCGATCTCGCGCACCAGGCGCTGGAAGGGCAGCTTGCGGATCAGCAGCTCGGTGGACTTCTGGTAGCGGCGGATCTCGCGCAGGGCCACGGTGCCGGGCCGGTAGCGGTGCGGCTTCTTGACGCCGCCGGTGGCCGGTGCGCTCTTGCGGGCGGCCTTGGTGGCCAGCTGCTTGCGCGGGGCCTTCCCGCCCGTGGACTTGCGCGCCGTCTGCTTGGTCCGGGCCATGACTCGCCTGTAACGTGCGTGGACTGGAGCGCAGCGCTCGGCCCTGTATTTATGCAGCAGTGGAGTCGCTCTGATTGGATTGTGCGCGATTCCTCTGCGGCGCTGGGCTCCGGAAGTGCGCCGGCCGTTTGGGGACGGCGGGATCCGTTCCGCGAGTCCCTGATTGGTTCGTTTGAATTAGCAGACATCTTCCAAGTACCTTAAATAAAATCATTTTCTTAGTCATTTGTTTCATCAGTGATGCCTCCGTCCCTCCCACACACACGTATGGCTCACAGAAGCATTTAACATTCTTGAGCTTTTCTCCTGTTTGGAGGAAAAATGTGTTCGAAAGAGAAAGTGATAAAAAAAATTTTTTTTAAATCTCCCGCCGTTTTGTGCACAGTTAACCCGTTTTCATCCAGGTCCTACTGCCGCCCTTTCCCCCTATTTAAAACCCCACTGTCTGAGCTTCTCACGAGTGCTGTTTCACTGTGTTTTAAGTAAGCTCGTAGTTCATTGTAGCATCAGGGCATACGCGGATTTCCGATTTCCTGAAATCCCTGGAGCTTTACTTTCGGGTTTGACTCGGCGGTAATTTGACTCTGCCCTTTGGTTTTGATGCATTTAAAATGTCAGCTCGGCCGGCCTGGAGGGAACGGATAAGAAAGCGTTTGCACTAAGGAACCGTGAAAAGATGGCAGCGACCCAGAGTCTTCGGCGAACGTTTATTTAAAATGCTGCGATGGCCCAGTGCCGGGCTTCTGGCCGGAGAGACCCAGGGTGTCCCGGACAATTTGTGAGAAAGCCCGCGGAGGTGGGCTCAGGCCGGCGGTCTGCCAGGGGACAGGATCTTCTTCCTGGGTTTTCGCGTCCAGGGGGAAGGTTTCCACTTCTTTTCTTTTTAAAAAAAATTTTTTTTAAGATTTTTATTAATTTATTTTTAGAGAGGGAAGGGAAACAGGTAGAGAGAGAGAGAGAAACATCAATGTGCGGCTGCTGGGGGCCGTGGCCTGCAACCCAGGCACGTGCCCTGACTGGGAATCGAACCTGCGACACTTTGGTTTGCAGCCCGCGCTCAATCCACTGAGCTACGCCAGCCAGGGGGTTTCCACTTATTTTCAAAATTTAAAAAATCATATCAAGATATTTTTTAAAATTTAAAAATAGAACTCTAACAGCGTAATCAATAAAATAGAAATATTTCTTATATTTATTTTCATTTACAGGATTCCTTGAAAGTGTTTGTTTTCACCCAATAGAAAAGGAGTTTAGGAACACCTACTATATATTCTCTTAATATATTGGCCAGTTTTAATCCAATCAGAGTTTAGATATGGAAGACCCTGCATACTCAGGATTTTTCTTTGTGCTGTTTCTGTCAGTCTCCCAAAGTTTCTGCCCTTTTAATTCCATACCATGCCCGAGCCGGCCAAGTCCGCGCCCGCCTGGAAGAAGGGCTCCAAGAAGGCCGTGACCAAGGCGCAGAAGAAGGACGGCAAGAAGCGCAAGCGCAGCTGCAAGGAGAGCTACTCGGTGTACGTGTACAAGGTGCTCAAGCAGGTGCACCCGGACACGGGCATCTCGTCCCAAGGCCATGGGCATCATGAACTCCTTCGTGAACGACATCTTCGAGCGCATCGCGGGCGAGGCGTCGCGCCTGGCGCACTACAACAAGCGCTCGACCATCACGTCGCGGGAGATCCAGACGGCCGTGCGCCTGCTGCTGCCCGGGGAGCTGGCCAAGCACGCCGTGTCCGAGGGCACCAAGGCCGTCACCAAGTACACCAGCTCCAAGTAGACGCGGGGAAGCCGCTTGCCTCCCAACCCCAAAGGCTCTTTTCAGAGCCACTCATGTTGGCATCCTGAGAGCTGTAATACGGAGAGTTTTAAAAACATGTCTGTCGATAGACAACTCTCTTTAAAATGTATGTATAGTGCAATAGCTTCATTGTGAACTGTTATTAGTGCAGCAAAGAATTTGAAATAACTGCAGTGGGAGCTATTGTGCTGTAGCCCTAAAAAGACTAATATCCTGACTTTTGTGTTTTAATCAATATCTATTTACTCTTAAAGTTGTTGAATTGGTTAAAATGATTTTGTTCTTGACTTCTTTTACATGCATTACCTACACTATAGAACATACGTGTGATTATGCCACATGTGTCTTCTGTTCTCCTCACGTGGGTCAGTCCTGGTCTGCGGGTGACCAGTGACTGCAGTTGAATTGGCGGGACTGTAAGTGCAAACGTCCCAAGAAGCCGAAGTGCTAGGACCTCAGCACCTTGGGGGAAATGATTGGAACTTCTTTTTTTAAAAAATATTTTATTTATTTATTTTTTAGAGAGGGAAGGGAGGGAGAGAGAGAGAGAGAGAGAGAGAGAGAGAGAGAGAGAGAGAGAGAGACATCAATGTGCTGTTGCTGGGGGCTGTGGCCTGCAACCCAGGAATGTGCCCTGGCTGGGAATCGAATCTGCGACACTTTGGTTCCCAGCCCGCGCTCAATCCACTGAGCTACGCCGGCCAGGGCTTGGAACTTCTTTAGAAAGTCACTGCAGGGACTTTGACGTGCTAAAGGTCAAAAATGCCTTTAATTGTAAGTTTTCAATGCTGCTAATTTATTTGCTTTAAACGCATAATCCTCACAGTTCAAGATCAGCATTTTTTTAAATCTTGATGAATGCAGATAGGCATTTCGTATTTTAAAGCTGTGGATTATTTTGGTAATTACTCCAATTGTGGCCCCCAATACCAGAGTGAAGCAGGTCGTGCACATACCCCTTCACACAGAGAGACCTCCAGGCGGGTGGCAGCAGGTGGCAGCAGGTGGCACAGGTAGGTTAGGCCTCTCCTGCTAGACTTGGACATGCGCGTTTGGCTTAGCCAGTCGTTGTAGACACAGAAGGTTTTCAAGCAAGGATGTCCCTGGCCCGCCTGTGTGTCTCCCAGGCACATCAGAGGGCAGAGCGCACCCGGAGAGGGGGCGTGTTCCCTGGAAGCTGGCCTATCAAGAAACAGCTTATTCTCATCTGCGGAGATATTGACAGATGCCTCCGCCACTGGGTTCTTTTTCATAGTCTTTCGGTAAAGGGCTGATTTTAGCCCCAGTATGGTTGGTGGCTTCGCCTGGTGTCTCTCCTAGTTTTTGATTCCTACTTCTCACCTCGTAACTGTCCTCCAAGATGCACTGGGGAATGGTAACAGTGCCTCACCTGGCGTAGTGTAACCGACCATGAGCATTCACAGCTGCATCCTGGATGGTCAGAGGGGCAAACATGGGCCTGGTTGGGACAAGGGTCATTTTATGTCATCCTCAGCTCCTGTGGTTTGAGGAGACAGTCACTGAGCTCATGCAATGTGCCCAGCCCGGCTGTTGGCACTGGGTGGGTGCACTGGTGGGCAAGAGAGGCAGAGTGATGGTACACAGGTGCAGGTGTAGACAGGGGTGTGGACTCGGGCTCCTGGGTGGAGGGGAGGTGTGTTGGCTGGGACAGCAGGGAGACTAGCTTCTGTTGTGGCCATCGTGGCTCCGTCAGTTGGTGGCCTTGCTGACAGCAGCAGCTCCTCGTAGTCACAGCTGGCGCCCCCTTGGGTAAACCAAACCCTCTGGGCCTCCCTGGTCCCAACCCTCGTGCAGTCCTGGTTTAGGACAAACATCCCGCCGGCTGGTGTGTCTCGGCGGCATCATCCCAGGTCTTCTGGAGAACCACTGCCACGCGGGCCGATTCGGGCTGCGGAGCCGGAGGGAATTCTGGGAGGAGAACCGATCACAGCAGCACTCCGGTGGGCATGGGGGCGGGGAGGGCCTGCGGGTCCGGGCGGAAAGGTCACATAGGTCTCTGCACAGCAGCTTTCCGGGAACTGCACGCTGGCCTGACGCTGACAGCTGGGCCCAGGCGCTCTCCCGAGAAACACAAGCCATCTCACAGAACACAGAGCGCAAAGCCGGCGAGAGCGGATGAGGCCGCCTGGGACAGGAGAAGGACCGCAGAGCGGAGCCCAGGCAGTCGGAGCACAGACCAGCACCATGCCCTCTCCTCCCGTGGGGCTCTGTGGAATCTATCCCCTTTGACACGGAGTGTTTGTACCCCCCCCACCCCCGATTTCTGGTTTCAAATCCCAACCCCTCGTGTGTGAGGACGGGGGCCCTCGGGAGCTGATTAGCCCACGAGGACACAGCCCTTTATAAAAGATTAGTGAGATTCAGTGCCGTTAGTGCCGCGTATAAAAGAGACCGCGGAAAGCGCTCTGTCCCTTCCCTTTGCCTGAAGGGGGCACAGCGAGAGGACCGCGGTCTCCGAGCCAGGAGCTGGGCCCTCAGCAGACACTGAATCCGTGTGACTGTGTCTCAGCTGGAGGCTGGGCGTCCCGGGCTCCAGGGCTGCAGAAAATAACGTTTGTTGTGTTAGGCCAGCCAGTCTGTGGTGTTTTTGTTACAGCACCTAGAGGCCAGACAGGACTTCAGGGACGCAGACGATAGGAATCCAGCCCCTTTTAGTGACAGTTTGCATCTTTTCCACTCCTGCGACACGACAGTGCACAGTGTGTTGTGTTTGCGTCCTTGGTGAGGGTCCCATCAGTTTCATCACCTACCTATGCCGACAAACCCCAGGTTTGTATTGCTAGTCCGGGACCCGCACCTGGACTCAGGAGTCTCACCTCCCCAGCTGCTGATGCAGTATTTCCTCCGGGGCCAGGGAGAGACCCAACAGCGGGCTGACCAGGCAACAGGACTTGTGTCTTAAGCAGCCAGGGACACTTTTCTCAAAGAGGCAGTTCATCAAATTGCCTGGTTTATCCATCTGAGCAGACACTTTGAAAAACCTTTGAGGTGTTTCGTGTTGAAACGTGTTTGCTGGTCTCCGCTCTGAGAGAGCAGCCTTTGTGGGTCAGCCTTCCGCGGGTCTCACAGCAACAGACAGGGCCCTGGCTTCCAGGAGCAACGAAAGGATCTCCGTGCAGAAACCGCAGACCTTTCGTGACTATTTCTGGCATCACATTTTTCATCATTTGTGAACTGATGGCCACTGACGAACGGCACCCGGAGTCTGGGGAACCCACCTCGGCCCAAGCAGAAGAATTTTCTGAGTGTTTCTCTAACAAGGATCGGACTGACGCCCGAGTTACGGAGAAGCCCGCAGCACCGACTCGGTAGGGTCTTCATCAAACCCGGGCATCTCTGGGCCTTCTTCAAGTCCTTGAGCTTTTATAAATAGAAATAAATGCTTAAAAATAAAACAACTGTTAATACCCAAACTGTAGCGTTTGACTTATCCTTAATAAAAAACGCGAGAAAAAAACCCAAACAAAACATTTCCCGCAGGACGACTAGGTGCTGACGGGCGGAGGGAGGCGAGAGGAGGAGGGGAGCAAGCTCCCCCTTCACAAATGCAAAGTGTGGCCTCGGGCCGGAGGGGGTTAGACACCCGAGTTAGAACCCGGACCCTTTGTCTAGTCAGTGGTACCTTACAAGCTGCTTGGCCTCAGGCTCAGGGAGGGGCCGCGCCCGAGAAAGAGAAGGAACAGGGCCCAGTTTCACTGAAAGCCAGCGCGACCGGGTTCGAGGAGGCAGGCCACAGCCCGAAGCCCGGGAGGTGGGGGTGGTGTTGGGGGCAGGGGGTCAAAGCTAGTGGATATTTTCTGACGTTGCCCGGGGCAAATACATTAGGAATTTATACCCAGCCTTCTGCTGGCAATTCATACTTTAATCAACGTGGCTTCCTGTGGGTGGCGGCACCCTCGCAGGCTCATAACTTGTTAAAAAAACATTTATTGAACACCCAGAATTAGGAACGAGCTAGGCGGCGCTGGAAACTGCTCCTCGCCAACCAGGGACCCTGCCGCTGATACTCGTGCAGGCGAAAAGGGGGGGTGGGCGGGTCTCTCTTAGAGGCAGCGCTGCGGACTCTGGAGCTTCCTGTGCTGCACTGGGGTGAGGGGGGCGAAATTGGAGGACCCCTCCGGTTTGCTTCCTGCCGGCCCACCTCCGTTTGCTTTTAATTCCAGTTTGTCCCCCAGAAGCGCCGCCTCCCTCCCCACAGGCCCAGGTGCCCATGCTGGTGGGCCCCTGTGCGCAGACTGGCCGAGGCCTGTCCTGCAGGAGCCACCATCGGCCTGCACTTACCGCCAAAGGTTAAGACCCCGCTGACACCGACCCCAAGGAAACGTGTTTGCAGAGTCACCCGAGCAAGAAAGGCGCGCACAGGTCTTCCCAGGAGGGGGTGGGCGGCCCTGAAAAGGGCCTTTGGTGGAGACGAGCTTACGGTGGTGACAACAGTGACTCAGCCGCCGAAGCCGTAGAGGGTGCGGCCCTGGCGCTTGAGCGCGTAGACCACGTCCATGGCCGTGACCGTCTTGCGCTTGGCGTGCTCCGTGTAGGTGACGGCGTCCCGGATCACGTTCTCCAGGAAGACCTTGAGCACCCCGCGGGTCTCCTCGTAGATGAGGCCGGAGATGCGCTTGACGCCGCCGCGGCGGGCCAGGCGCCGGATGGCGGGCTTGGTGATGCCCTGGATGTTGTCGCGCAGCACCTTGCGGTGGCGCTTGGCGCCGCCTTTGCCGAGCCCCTTCCCGCCTTTGCCGCGGCCAGACATGGTTACCGCCGAGACACGACAAACTTCCAGCACACCTCCTTCGAAATAAAGCCGAAATTCCCGTGTGCAGCACTGCACGCACCCCTTGTACACCACGAAGTGAGCGCGGGTTGGGTCGGCGGGAGGGGCTCGTGGGGCGCGATCGGCGGCCGCCCGCGCAGGCCCGCGAGCTGTGGGCGGGGCCGAGGAGACAAAGGGCTTTGTGCGCCCCGGCTCCGTCCCCGGATCCACGTCAAATGCCTGGTTGCAAACCCTTTTTTAAAAATTCTGCTGTGCACCAAGGTACTGGAATAACTGTACCTATGGAAACTAAACATGTTCTGTTTTAGTTTAAGTTCCTAAGACCCTCGCCGTGGGGAAGGCGTCGGTCGGAATTACACGCCGCGCCGTGTTTGAAACGCCCGTCTCAGGGGTGAACGCGTCCCGGCGTCTCCCTGGCCCAGAGGCAGCCCCCCCACCCTTCGGATGAAGGCAAAAGAGTCAGCGATGCCGCGCAGCGGCCTCAGGACCAGGAAGGAGCCGAACAGCGCGGGGCGCCCGCCGGGAGGGCCGCCCTCCGGCTGCCGGTCCCCGGGAGGCCTGCCCCCGGCCCCCCGCGCCCCCCCCCACCCCCGCCTGGGCCTCCGCAGCCCCAACGCCGGGGCCCGGTCTGCGCCCCGTCGTCTCTCAGTTTCGCTTTAGTGTCATCCGTAGGGCAGAAATGTTAATGCCAACGGCACAGAGGTGTGGTTTTGACAGTTGAAAAGTAAATTTTTGGTCAAATACTCAACACCACCAATGAGGAGGCAAAAAGGGGGTTCTATGGAAAGTCAGCTCCTCAGATGATCTGATCACAAATTTCTAACCGGGCTGGTCTGGGCTGGAGGACTCGCCCCAGGCGTATCGCTTCTTCAGAAAAAGGTGTCTTTGCCTTAAGCAAGCCCTCTGCCCCGTTCCCGTGCCGGTGGGCTGGCACACCTTGGAGGTGCCAACACCAGCTCTTGTGTTCCTGCTCCCTTGAGGTTTAACCACCCTCCAGGGAGCGCGAAATGTTAACTATTTTTTATTCCGACCCCTGACTTGTTTTCTCCCATCTTTAGGTTTCTTCCTTAGTTCCAAATCCATTAAAACAACAACAACAACAACAACCCCCCAAAAAACCCAAAACAAAACAAAACAACAAAAAAACAAAAAGCAAAAACAAAACCCCAAACAAACAAACTGCAAAGCTCTTGATCTCGGAGGGTTTGAGAACTTGCTTCCTAGCATGTCTCGCTGTAAAGTTTCCCACAGGTGTGGACCTTTCTTATGTGTAAAACTGGACTTACCTGAGGAAATCAGCCTTAATGCTCCACGGATTGACTTTCTCCCCAAGACCCTTAAACCTCTCAATCCCGTATATCGCAATCTGGGCCTATGTTTGTGTGTCTTTTTTTTCTTTCATAATGTCCACCACTCTATCAAAAGCAAAGTTTGATTTTTGAAGTCAGTGCCAAATTACACGATAATATTTAAATTTATATAGAATTTATTATTGTTAATTAGTTAGTTTTTTATAGAAAGAGCTGTGAACCTGCTTTTCCCCTGAAAGTCTGTCTGTCTGGGATTTTATCCACCAGTCTCCACCACACGGGCACCCAGACGGATTCCCCCGAGGACTGCGTTGTCTGATGAAATAGTCCGACCCAGTTGTGAGCATTTGAAATGTGGCTGATGTTGATGAGCCAAAATTTAAATTATATTTTTTAAAAATTTAAATACCTTTAAGTTTTGTTTTCAATTAAAAAGCTGATGCTCCACTCAGTTGTTGAAACTTTTTAGGCATGTTTGAACCACTTGGGCATGCAAAATTAAATTTTTCACACTACAGTTGGTGGAATTTAAATGCAAATCAAGTTTTTCAAAGAAAAAAATAGTATCAGACTGAATAAAATATACACCAAATTTAGAAAAATTAGGCTGATCAAAGGAATGTAAAATATTACAATGCAATGATATCTTTATATTGGGTACCTATTGCAATAAAATACTTTGCATGTTTAGATTAAATGCAATTTATTATTATTATTATTATCCTCATCCAAGGATATGTTTATTGATTTTAGAGAAAGAGGAAGACAGTGGGTGTGGGAAGAGAGTGGGAGAGTGAGAAACATTGATTGGTTGCTTGTAGTTCGTGCCCTGACCAGGGATCAAACCTTCAACCTTTCCATGTATGGAATGATGTTCCTACCAACCGAGCCACCTGGCAAGGGCTCGGTTATTACAATGTGGGGGGGGGGCTCTGCCTGCAGGACCCCCCAGATGCCACGGGTGAGAATAAGTCTACCAAGACATGGTCTTCTGGGCGGGGGGAAGGTGGCAAACCTCTCAAAGGAGAAGGGCCAAGAGCCTTTTCCTCAATGACTTTTATTGGGTTCATTTGCACAAGAATTCAGGTAAAGCTCATTAATCATTGCCAGGAAGTAAGGACCAAACAATAGATAACAAAGAACTCTGAGGGCCTATTTTGAGTCAGGGTCAGACAGCTAAAGAGCTGTAAAACTTTGAGGAACAAACTTACTTCTTCCCTGTACCCTTATCATTCAACTGAGAACATTCTAAACAAAGCAGGTTTCACAGGATTTTACATATTCTTTCTTAGGCCTGATCACCTAAGGGGGAACCCGCCCTTTCCAGCACAGGGCTGCACCACCCTCTGTCATTGTCTCAGGCTTAGGTGGAGCAAGGGAAGTAAGGCAGCCAAGAGATTAGGAGATTTTCTCGTAGAAAATGAGGGCTCAGGTTTTGTCAAAGCCTAGGACAGAGGGTCCATCACCCCCTTTTGCTATAGCCCCCCAAAATCCTTCCTTGGGGGCCTCCCACGTGATCGTGCCTGTCTTAGATCATTCCCCCCCTTGGGGGACTCTTACCTGTCATTGGCTAACCGACCAAGCACTGGGGGCCAGGTAGGGTGAAGTAAAAGGAGCAGAAGGGGTGCTCCTGCCAGGGAGATAAGCTTGTCTCCTTGGTGATTTATGGTCCAAGGTCATTCCCTCAGCCTTAGCCTTGGGGGGAATTACAGCTTCTGATACCAGGCAGGGTGGATCCCAACATTACAATAATTGCATCTTGTCACTTTTCAAAATGAGGTTACCGGAAACTCCAGAATCGTGTCTGTGGCTGCATTGCTTTCTTTAGTGGAGCTGCTCCAGGGTTCTCCATTCTCTCTGCTTCCTGATCTCCAGCAAACCTGGCTGTCATGGGCTCTGGGATACAGTGGACATAGATGTGTTTCTAAGACACCCAGCTACAGAGACTGGCCTCAAACAGGAGTGAAGCACTCTCAAAAAATTGAAGTTATTTCAGCCAAGGAAGGTTTCTCATATAAAACATTACTCAACAAAGTTTAGGAGAGGACAAACTGTTTTCCTTCTATCTCTTTGGGTTACTTGGCTGCTCTAACAATCCAATTCACATAAGACAGATGAACAGGAGAAAAACTAATTTCGTACAGCAGGAACCCTATAAATGTAGAGGGCCCAAAGGTAGCCCTGAGCTAAGGAACAGGACAGGGGTCTGGGGCTTCAGGGCAGGGGGAGAGCAAATGTTTGGTAATTAGATGGCACCCTGTCCTAGGTCGTCCAGATAAAGACTTTCTGTCACAATAGTTCTTCTCCTGGGATAGGCCCTCTATTTAAACTCTTTCAGGTAGTGGAGGAGAGGTAAGCATTTTTATTGATTCTGGTGGGTCTCGGTTGACTTTAGCTCAAAATAATCCACATGTCAAAGTGGCCTATTTTGGGCCGGCATGCTCTGCAGCAAAAGGTGGATGCTGGAAAACTTGTTGACCTTAGAATTCTTCATGGGCAGGGTGTCAGGAACTGGAGACTACCTGGAAAATCTGTGGCTAGTAATTTTGTTCCAAACACGTGTTTTTTTGAGAGTAAGCATCAAAAACTGATTATTAGAGGAATTGTTTTCCAAAGGAGCTTAAGCTTCTGAACAAGAGACTGTGCATTCCAGATGTGTAAAGAAATTATTTTGTGGATATACCAAAGCATTTCATGAAAAGAAGGAAGGACAGGAAATAATTTATTGTTTCTGGGAGTTAGGTAAAGACCAAGAGAGACTGAGACAACATTGGGTCAATTGCATTGGAGTCTAGAAAGAATAAAAAGTTATACTTTCTATTATTTGATTAATGAGCAAGATAAGAATGTCAGAAAGTTAGACCATAACGTTTTATAGAGATTTTTCTTGCACGCTTTCTGTTTCTATTTTGTTCCTAGTCAGATTCCACAGTGTAAGAAAAATGGTCTGAGACTTGAAAGTAAGGAGAAAGATCAGCCAAGTTGTCCGATATCATAAACAGTGAAGGTCACACAAGGGTCCTATGAAAATGAACTTCGATTGTCTCACTGTTGACTATTGATTAAAGCCACCAAACTGGTGCTTTTCCTTTATTCCTTGATCTCATTATTAATTCGTTCATGTCTAAAGAACCCACTGACAAAGCCAAAGAGGGGAAGGATTGAGGGTGGGAAGTTGGAGTGGGTGGGTGGGGTGGGGTAAAGTGGTGGTGGGAAAATAGAGACAACTGTACCTGAATAAGTTTTTAAAATGTGGATCCTAAAAAAATAAAAATTAAAAAAAAATAAAGTTTCAAAACAAAAAAGGTACAAAACTGAGTGATGTTACTTGTTAATTTGCAGGGTTTTATTTAGTGGAGACGCAAATAATTTCTGTCCAGTGCAACAGATATGACTATAAAGATTTATAGCTTCATGGACATCAACTAATTTTGTTTTACTCTAAATCAATAATAGTGTCTTAAAATTTCTTTGTTAAATTTTCTATAAATATCATCATTTGTTAAATGTTCTTTTAGCCTATCATAACATTTTCCTGTTGGTGAGTCAGATAAACTCTTTGACATGTGTTCATTTTGTATTTAATGGATCATGATTTTACCTTTTGGAAGTAGGTGAACAGGAGATGTCATGTGACTTTGACTCGATTGGAGACAGAGGGTCTAAGGGGAGGTGCTGGTCCTTTCCCGTTTAGCTCTGGGAAACCAAGCGCCTTTCCCTCAGTGTACGACCTGCAATCTGACAAGCACAATACAGGAAGGCAGAGAGTTCGGGCATGAAACCGGTTCTTCATCAGGTGTGGGCTCACTGAGGACCAGGAAAGGCCCCTGGGCACTGCAGGGCAGCTCTGAAGCCTGTCCAGAAATATGTAAATATTGAATGAAGGTGAAGGGGTGGATGAATCTCCTTTCATTGTCATATGAAACGGTTGTCTGAAAGGCCTGCCCAAGTGTTCTTTAATTACACTACGTAAATACACCTCTCCCTCTTTCCTGGAGTTCACCGTCTGGGAATTTAGATGTTAATTTGTAGCATACTTAATAATGTCAGTGATTTCTGTCCATTAGAGATGAGAATTATCCACTGGGCACTCCACTTTAGATGCTCTGTTCCGAAATGAGATGTGGCTGTCACAAGTTCATTGTATTAACTTGCCTCTGTTACAGGACACAGATTCACTTCCAATGCTCTGTCTCCCTGCAGAGAGGCTCAGCTGCAGCTTACATTCACCGGTTCATTATGTGTTGATTTCTTTGCAGGTGGCTACACTTACCTCTGTGGGTTCCAGTCAAGCTCCTCCAGGTACAGTTGGGTCTGCAAAATATGTGCTACATTTTAACATTTAGCAAAAATAGCATATAGTAAGAACCACGCAAACCTCGAGATACTTGTCCTTTCAAAGAGGAGAAAACACAACCAAAGGTTATTCTCTACCTGTGTCATGGAATGATAACACTTTTTGATCTAAATTTGCTCTTTGGATTTTATTTCAATCTTTCTTGTGTAAGGGAGGCAGATTTTTTTTTCTCTGTTCACCTTGGTCCTTGATGGGGTGCCCTGAACAGATAACACTCATTAGCAAGAGAGAAAAAAATGAAAGTTTATTACCATCCATGTTTCATGTACATAGAGACGCAGGAAAGTAATTCATACAGGTGCCTTAGCTCTTCAGTTTAATTAATTAATTAATTAACTTATTGGGGGTGGAGTGGGGTAGAGAGAGAGAGAGTTGTCATACCACTTATTTATGTAGTCTTTGGCTGATTCTTGTATGTGCCCAGGCCAGCTTGGCCTATTGGGAGGAGGCTCTAACCCACTGAGCAAACTGGCCAGGGCCTGCGCTTCAGTTCAGGCAGCATCTTCACACAACAGTGCAGATTTGTAAAGCAATAACAAGACAAAGGGAGCAGCAGTTTGAGGCTTTGAAGGGTGGCAAGCTGGGGAGGTAAGATGCAAAAGGTGCAGGAGGGAAGGGAGCAGCTGAGAGTCAGTGATGTCTGCAGTGCCCCTCCTGCCCGCGGCTCTGGTAAGAGTCGCCAGTAAGAGTCCCTGGTCTCCAGGATTCATCTCTGACTTGCGGCAGAAAAAGGAGAGGGAAAGGAGAGCTTCTCTGGCAATTGCACCTTCTCAACTGCCTTCAGCTCAAGATAATTTGTTGGCAAATGATGGGGTCACTGATCTGTCTCCCTTCCCTTCCGCGTAGACGCAGTCGTGATAATCCCACACGCCCTTCTGAGCTAGGCTTGTCTTCCTGACGGTTCCCGTAACAGTAAACTACATATTAGAAACATTTACATTTTTGAGGCATGGTACATTATTTTCAACTTTACATTTTGTTAACTGTCCTAAAGGAATGGCACAAAGACTTTATGTGAAATAAATCAGGTCGGTATTTGCTCTTCAGGCTGCAAAGGCCTAGCCAGTGGGTCAGGGGCTCATTCAGGTACTCGTTTCACTTGATTTCCACAGACGCAGATTCCACGGATTACAAGGACGTTGCTTTTGCGCTGCATCAGGGCATAAGGCTGCATTTTACTTACGATGATTTCGAGCACAGCCTCCTTTTGCGGTTCAGGGCTGACAGCAGCGGTGGTCCGCGCCAGGCGTCCCCAGAGAAAAGGCGGGTTCTGACCTTCTGTGTGAGAGCAGGTCAGTCTGGTCCCTGGGTCCCACGCTGTGGTCTAATCGCTTTTGTTCGCTTTCTTGAGTAACAGGACTGGATTTCCACTAACAGTTGAAATAAAATACAGGTTTTCGCGTGAGTTTATGCCCCAATTTCAAATAATCCATAAAAGTGTGGTTTCATTTTGTGTTGATTTCAGTGAGCTTCATTTCTTGTTTTCTGAAAAGTAAGAAACTAGTCACCATCAAGAATGCCAGCGCCAGTAACGTTTAAAAAGCCCGCCCTGACGTGTGATTGGCCAGCTGTCACTCCTTTGTTCCATTATTTCTCTCATTCATGCTGTAGACTCTCTGACAGCAGGCTCCCTTCGGTACCCAGGGGCCGTGTCCTTTGTGCGTGCGCACACACCGCGCACACATTGGCTGCCCAAGATGAACAGGCTGAGGCACGGTCTCCCTTCTGCCTCCCTGCCACTCACACGGCTCAGGGACAGAACTCCAGTCCCGGCCCAGAGCTGCAGCTGCCTTCGGTGAGGGAGGGGCCAGAAAACTACTGTCATGATTCTTTCTAGTTTCTTGGTGTGTCAAGTGTGAGCAGCGGGTTAAAAAGCTTACTGACCTCTTTGTGGCAATATTTACAACCTCAGCAGAATTCAAGCAAAGAGCGCATGTAGATTTAAGCATTTCAGCTTTTTAGAGAAAGTGGGTGGTTTTGATTTTCCTAACGAGAACCGAGTGCTAAGCGCTTCACTTTTAACCCTGAGGGCCCGCCACACTGATCCCCTTCCTTACACCATACAAAGTATCTGTGTGTCTGTTTTCCTGGCTGACTAGCCACTTCATGGTGTAAATCTCCATTGGATACTTTCCTATTTCCCCGTGTTCTCATACTGCCCTCTGCTTGTAGACTGAGAAACTACTGTAACGATTATGCAAGCCCTTTTAGTGCCAAGATGGGTGGCTCTGAAAAGAGCCTTTGGTTTCAACTGGTTGGAGCTGCTGCAGGCTTTTTACTTGCCCTTGGCCTTGTGGTGGCTCTCGGTCTTCTTGGGCAGCAGCACGGCCTGGATGTTGGGCAGCACGCCGCCCTGCGCGATGGTCACCTTGCCCAGCAGCTTGTTGAGCTCCTCGTCGTTGCGGATGGCCAGCTGCAGGTGGCGCGGGATGATGCGCGTCTTCTTGTTGTCGCGCGCCGCGTTGCCCGCCAGCTCCAGGATCTCGGCAGTCAGGTACTCCAGCACGGCCGCCAGGTAGACGGGCGCGCCGGCGCCGACCCGCTCGGCGTAGTTGCCCTTGCGCAGCAGGCGGTGCACTCTGCCGACTGGAAACTGGAGTCCGGCCCGGGAGGAGCGCGTCTTGGCCTTGGCGCGCGCCTTGCCGCCCTGTTTTCCACGTCCAGACATGCTGACTGGTAACACTAGGACTACAGCTGCAAGAAAAACAATAAAAGAAATGTACTGAAGGGAGCAACAGGACGCTAGTTATAGTGCTGGGTGGAATTGTTAAGCGTGAGATGGGATTGGTTAAAAATCATCTCTCACATCGCCAACCAATAAGAAAGGTGATGTGATGCAATTAAATTTACATATTCTCGTCACTGACACATTATCAAATCAGATCTGGATATTCTTGAGTGCCTTATTTGCATAAAGCGTCTATAAAAGACGACACTGTAGACCTCGGCGGACATTTTATAACTTCCCTTTTTTCTCTCTTTGTTTCACTTTTTCTACGGAGATGCCTGAGCCAGCCAAGTCCGCGCCCGCCCCGAAGAAGGGCTCCAAGAAGGCCGTGACCAAGGCGCAGAAGAAGGACGGCAAGAAGCGCAAGCGCAGCCGCAAGGAGAGCTACTCGGTGTACGTGTACAAGGTGCTCAAGCAGGTGCACCCTGACACGGGCATCTCCTCCAAGGCCATGGGCATCATGAACTCCTTCGTGAACGACATCTTCGAGCGCATCGCGGGCGAGGCGTCGCGCCTGGCGCACTACAACAAGCGCTCGACCATCACGTCGCGGGAGATCCAGACGGCCGTGCGCCTGCTGCTGCCCGGGGAGCTGGCCAAGCACGCCGTGTCCGAGGGCACCAAGGCCGTCACCAAGTACACCAGCTCCAAGTAATGTGCTTCAGCCTCTGCAAACCCAAAGGCTCTTTTCAGAGCCACCCACTTTTTCAGCATGAGAGTTGTAATGGCTTTTAACAGTGACGGTGCTGGTTAAGTGTCTGGCTGCTGTGCGGTGCTAGTACCTTGAAACATAGAAACGTTTGGTTGAAAGTAAGAAAGGCATGTTCGCTGTAGGCCAGTTTATTTCTCCAACTGTCTTGGGCTGCAAAGCTGGCTAAAGGACTGACATGCTGTGACATCCTACATGGCACATAGTTCCAAGAAAAGTGAAGAGCGCTTCAGTTTAATACTTCTTAAAAGTAAGAGAAAGGGTTTTATAATTCCAGTTAATTGGAACCACATTGCACACATCTAGTGGGTGTATTTGCTTAAATCAACAATGTAACTTCTAAACAAAAGGAGTTGGACAACTAGTGTGCAGGATAGTCGAGAAGTGACTTAAAGGGTCCCAGGATAGGGCCACTTAGTTTTAATGAAAAGTTCCCTAACATGTTTTGAATGCTGAGCACATTGGTGAAATACCACATTATAGCTCGTGGTACTGAAAGTCCAGGAAAGAAGGACTCTTAGAGATACTTGGATGCCTCCCCTTTAAATTATGTTCTTGTTTTCCCCAGGATGGAACTGTTATCAGTTTATTTTTATCCTAGTCAGCAAACATTTTACTTTTTAAATGGAAAAAACAAACATGTTATTCTAGTTGAGACACCTCCACTCTCCTGCCGTCTGTAGGCACATATGATAGTGAAAATGTACACTTTTGGACTTATGATTACAAACCTATGGAAGATAGTAAGTTTCCATGTGCGGAATCTCATGTGGGATAAACGCTGTACATGTGCATACAACATGTTTTTAGGATTTCAAATCAGGTAGGAAGACTGTAATATTATTCTGTACATTCCTGTCTCATTTGTTGTATAATAAACTTCCCACTGTCTACACCACACACAAATGTGCACTCAGGCAGCACCAACAATGAGTGTATAAGCATTCCAACAGAACTACAGAAGCGAGAAAAATGTAAAAATAAAACCTAAAACATAAACCAATAGCTGTACTCTATGAGAGAGATTAAAAAGTCAGGTTTTGCTTTCCACCGTCCCTTGAATGGGTGTCTCAAGCAAGCCTACCCGGGCTTCAGAGGAGGGCCGGGATTCCCCGAAATCGTGGCCCACAGTGCACCACATGGTCTTCCCCACGCCCACCGCGGGAGCAGGGAGAACTGTGTGCACCTTTCTTTCAAACTCTAAGTATACTGTGTCTTCGTGTGCTGGCAGAATAATGTCACCCCAATTAATCTACCGCCTAATCTCTAAACTCAAATATGTTGGATTACATGACAAAGGCAATTAAATTGCAGTTGAAATTGAAGTGAGGAGTTGCCTGAATTTAAAATGGGGAGATTATCCAAGTGAACCCAAAGTGATTACAGCGGTGTTTAAGGGCGAAGGAGGGAATCAGAGCAGAGAACTGGAGGAGACGCTTTGGCCAGAGAGGGCTGGCTTCGGGGCCTGCAGGAGAGGGGCCGTTATTAGCTGCAGCGGGAGGAAGGCCTCTGGAGCTGGAAAGCGCAAGCAAGCAGGGAGGAATGCAACCTGCCAGCTCCTTGATTTGACCCCAGTGCAACCCTTGTTCAAACGCTGACCTCAGTCCTATAAAATTCCCAGTGTGCATTTCACCACGTTTGTGATAATTCATCAGGCCAGCGATAGAAAATTAATGTGCTTATGTAAGGTGAAGAATTATTGCCTAATGTGGTTTTAAATATAGCTATATATTTGAAATTAAATGTGTAAATACCAAAATCACTATAGATGAATGTAAATTATTTCTAAATATTTCAGGCTCACCTAATTTGGTCGTTGCTCTAATTTGACCAGTTGCAATTTTACATTGCCTGTTTTTGCTGGTGTCTGCAATGCCTGGCTACAATGGCAGGAAGTCTCATCTCATGGATAAGCATTCCCTCTACTCGCTGCAGTATCGTTACTACTTCTGATGATACTACTTCTTCAAAAACCTGGCCTCAATCATAGTTAATGTACAGGAGCAATGATCAAATGTCCATAAATAACTTCGTGAATTCTACATATCCCTAAAGTATTTAAATTTATTATAAGCACTGTATGTGTATTAAGAAAAGTGTCAACGAAGCTGAGTTTAGTAATATTATCATTTTGCAAATAAAAATCAGAGGAGGTGAGAACCGACTTTATTTACCTGGCAGAACTGGAGTTCCAGCCGATGTCTTTCGATGCCATGATTTTTCAAAGATATCTACATAGAAAGCAGTCACGTTTATAGAAATCTATAGGTTTCTTAACCGCTTGAGGACATAGGTTTGCAAAGATTTTCTCCTCTCCCCAGCACGAGGCTACATCTCTTTCCCTGGTGTATCCAATTCATCTGTCACGTGGCCCAGGTCTGCCTGAAAGGAGGGCCTGGCTAGGCTGGCAGATGACGCCCTGGAGCACGTGCAGCGCGCGGTTCACTCTGCGGGACCCAGCACCTGACCTCCCTGGGAGAGCTGATGGCGACAAACCCTCCCGACACTGCGCACTCCTGGAGAGCAAGGAAAGAGTCTCATATGCTTTCCAAAGTGCCCGATGGTGCGAGGAGCCCCCTCAGCAAACTCTTTGAAAAGTAAAGTAGAAATAGCTCTTTAAATCGAGGACGCTTGGTGCCCGGGTGTCCACGTGCATGTCCATTCAGGAACAGACAAACAACAAAGAAAACCCCACAAAACACTACCGGTTATTTTTACGAAGGTAATTTAATAAACGTCACACAGGTGTGCTGGAATGCTGAAAGGCCACGCTAGAGCTGGTGCTCCGCAGACGGCTGGAGGAAGCAGCGTTCTGAGCTCACGCACGCACATGGGAGTCATTGAAATCCAGACATTGCGGAGGAGTTCTGCTAGAGACAAGGTTCAGAACTCGGGAGAGGGGCGATGCTGGGGCTGGAGACTCGACTGCGGCGAGAGGCCCAGGCTGGGTACTGGGACCCACCGCTGCACCAGGAAAGGAGACCAGAGCTGATACAGAACCGAGAGGTCCCTCTTGTCACCCTCCCCTTCCAGACCCCCAAGCTTCGCCTGGGACTCACTGCAAATGAAGTTTGGCGCGCACTTCTGCAGCCGGTTTACCACGCAACGGGCAAAGGTCCAGGGCGTCCCTGAGGCAGAGGAACAGGGCCTTCCTGACTGAGTACCTGCGCCGCCCTATAGAGGTCCTTCTCGAATGCAGCACGGCTCATCAGAGTCAGTTGTCCCGCTGTCCTGCCAGGAAGAATAGGGCATTCAACTCTGGCTTGAAAGAGCCCTTGGCTCTTTCAGACGCTTGGATAAAAACCCTTAGCCAGGACTCTAACGGCCTCAGGCAGAGGGCGGGGGATGGGGAATTAGGCCACACAAAGAAACGCGGGCAAAGAACCGCAGCGACACCTAGAGGGCATTCCGCTAAAGGGCGGGATTTTCAAAAGTAGTTGTGCACCCTTGAGGCGGTAAGAGATGACGCTACAAAGAAAACCAGACCAGATAGTTCACGGTCAAATCATCAGCTCCATGAAACACTGCAGCCAGGCCACACAGGCCCTTTGCAAATGTTGAAATATGAGCTCATGAGTGGAGAAACACCCAGGGCTTGTAGTACACGTGTTCGCTTACACCCTGGGCCCCCACAGATCGGGCAAAATTGTACAGATAGTGACTCTACCGCCCGGAAACTCGGTGACCTTGTCCTAAACAATGGCAGTAATGCTCACTGACAGCCATGGCACTGCGCAGCTCTTTATATGAAAACATGAGTGGCTCTGAAAAGAGCCTTTGGGGTTGGGAGGCAAGCGGCTTCCCCGCGCGTCTACTTGGAGCTGGTGTACTTGGTGACGGCCTTGGTGCCCTCGGACACGGCGTGCTTGGCCAGCTCCCCGGGCAGCAGCAGGCGCACGGCCGTCTGGATCTCCCGCGACGTGATGGTCGAGCGCTTGTTGTAGTGCGCCAGGCGCGACGCCTCGCCCGCGATGCGCTCGAAGATGTCGTTCACGAAGGAGTTCATGATGCCCATGGCCTTGGACGAGATGCCCGTGTCGGGGTGCACCTGCTTGAGCACCTTGTACACGTACACCGAGTAGCTCTCCTTGCGGCTGCGCTTGCGCTTCTTGCCGTCCTTCTTCTGGGCCTTGGTCACGGCCTTCTTGGAGCCCTTCTTCGGGGCGGGCGCGGACTTGGCTGGCTCAGGCATGGTACAGAGAGACTCAAACCTGGAAAACCAAAAAGTAATGGCAGAGCAAGATGTGTCTTTTTTTATATAAAAACTGACATGCAAATAAGGTGATAAAGTAAAGACCTGTGTCTGATTGGTAGGTATAGAGTGCAACGTCAAAGGAATTAGTTCTGTCCAATCAAAACGCAAGACTCAAAAATCTGCACTTTCATTTGTTAAAATGAAGCTACTGTGTTGGCCAATAACACATCTCCTTTTTCGGTGCCAAAAATGATTATAAGAGTACTCATCGCGGCACTCTGCACTTTATCATCTGCTTGGTGTTCAGATCTTAAGATAAAATGTCTGGGCGCGGGAAGCAGGGCGGCAAGGCGCGCGCCAAGGCCAAGACACGCTCTTCCCGGGCCGGACTCCAGTTTCCAGTCGGCAGAGTGCACCGCCTGCTGCGCAAGGGCAACTACGCCGAGCGGGTCGGCGCCGGCGCGCCCGTCTACCTGGCGGCCGTGCTGGAGTACCTGACTGCCGAGATCCTGGAGCTGGCGGGCAACGCGGCGCGCGACAACAAGAAGACGCGCATCATCCCGCGCCACCTGCAGCTGGCCATCCGCAACGACGAGGAGCTCAACAAGCTGCTGGGCAAGGTGACCATCGCGCAGGGCGGCGTGCTGCCCAACATCCAGGCCGTGCTGCTGCCCAAGAAGACCGAGAGCCACCACAAGGCCAAGGGCAAGTAAAAGCCTGCAGCAGCTCCAACAACTTGAAACCAAAGGCTCTTTTCAGAGCCACTAACTTTTTTACTGAAAGAGCGTGCATTTTTTCCTTCATGCAACTAGTTGAACAGGATACCCACTATGCTTTGCTAGTAGATATCGGTACTTAAATACCCCATAAACGCGAAGATAAGCGTCCACTTGAAAGGTGCGCTAAAAGCGAAAGGTAGCCAAATAAAAACCAGAGGCTTGGTTGAAGATGCATATTTATAGGAAATTTAGTTAATCAGCAGCAACAATAAAACCATTCTTCAGCCTCCTTTGAAGGGTGTTTTGCATCTTAATGGGACCCATTACCTCCAACTCTGCTGGGCCCCAGGCGATTGTAAACAGGAAAGCAGCGAGACTACCGGGAGTCAGGTCCTTTAGGCGGGTGTTTGCAGGGTTTCAGTGTGATTTTTAAAAAGGCATTAAGTAATCTTTTTGTATCATTTGTAAGCTTAAGTATTTTTCCACTTCATTTTACACAAACCTCGTTCGAAAGTGTAAGGCGTAGTGCTCTGTATGAGAATGTGAGCATGTTGCCGTAGTTAAAATATCAAATGAAATTACCTCAATGTTCTTGGAGCATTTAGAAAAAGTATACCAAAGCAGGGTGTTTAGAGAGATGTAAGCTCAGGAAAAAATAAAAATCTCTAAGTTAGAACATGGACAGCAGGAAATTGGTGTGAATTTAGCCTTCTTAAACTTCAGTGAGGCCAAAAGGTATCATTTGAGCAACCCCACCTGGCGCGCGCCTTTTCAAAATAAAGGAGTTTCAGATGTGAAACTTAAAATTTCTACTAAGCAAACAAGATCTATAATTGCAGTAACTTGTGAGGGGAAAGCCTGTCCTGACCGAGCTGTGAAGAAAAGGTATTCAGACGCTAGATGCGAAAAAGGGTAGAAATACGTTGCTGAAAGGGTGGATGAGAGGAAGATATTAATTTTGCCGGAAGTTCCAGCAATGAAGGAGTGGACCTCCCTTCCAATACTTTCACTGCGAGCGTGATAGACAGATGCCTCTTCCAATAAGAGCTGGACTTGCCTTATATATACACACCAGTGAAGGGAACGCGTCTTCACTTCTCCACCGTCTCAGTGGTGCAGGTTGTTTGAGATGGCTCGTACCAAGCAGACAGCGCGCAAGTCCACGGGCGGGAAGGCCCCGCGCAAGCAGCTGGCCACCAAGGCCGCCCGCAAGAGCGCGCCGGCCACCGGCGGCGTCAAGAAGCCGCACCGCTACCGGCCCGGCACCGTGGCCCTGCGCGAGATCCGCCGCTACCAGAAGTCCACCGAGCTGCTGATCCGCAAGCTGCCCTTCCAGCGCCTGGTGCGCGAGATCGCGCAGGACTTCAAGACCGACCTGCGCTTCCAGAGCTCGGCCGTCATGGCGCTGCAGGAGGCGTGCGAGGCCTACCTGGTGGGCCTGTTCGAGGACACCAACCTGTGCGCCATCCACGCCAAGCGCGTCACCATCATGCCCAAGGACATCCAGCTCGCGCGCCGCATCCGCGGGGAGCGGGCGTAAGCTGTCCTGGCCGAGTGGTGACCTTGAACCCAAAGGCTCTTTTCAGAGCCACCCAAAATTTCAATTAGAGCTGTAGGGAAAGAGGCTAGTACTTAGGTCCTGGTACCGATTATGAGCTCGCAGCAAATAGTTGCAGTCTCGTTGTCCTTGATACCTGCCCCTTTTGCCCGAAGGCGTAACCAAGGATGTGGCACAGTTTCAGCTGAACTGTTTCTAACCATGGGAATCTTTGAGGCCACCCTCCATGGTTTTCCTACAAGGGCGAACCTAGGGAAACAACCATCTTGCAAATACAGGCGTTTGTGGTTCAGTTCATCTGCCACACATTTGGTCAAGAGGTTTTTCTAGCTTGGGGTGATTGGTGAACACGGACTTCTAAAGAGCTCTCCAGTTTTTTCTACATAAAGCTCCAGGTTTGATGGAGTAAATCCTCACAGAACCCAGAAATCCGATTCAAAAGCACGCCAACATCTGAGTGTAGTGATCTTACCCTTAGGCAAAGTTGTAGTGTAGTGATCTTACACTTAGGCAAAGTTGCAGGTGATAATAGCATTACCATATTTTTTCAATGTGACTACAAAGTTTTATTTGGTTTAGTGCCATAGCCAGCACTACAGTGCCTTTTAAAAGATGTAATTTTAAAGGTGCAATGCAGGAAGTGAATCAATACTGGGGACAGTTGGGAAGGACAATAAAAGGAACCCTGTAATCATTACAATGTAATGGAAAGTACTTAATTGTCATGGCTCTGAACAGCTTTATTTTTTTAAGTGGAAGCTGGTTTGCACTTTCCACTCCCAAATGGTACACAAGTTCTCACGCATAGCACTCAATCACACTGAGCAATAAAAAACGTCTACATTTACATCTACATAAAACGATTACAATACTTGTAATCACGGCTTGCCTGCAGCAACTTTTGAGTGAAAAGCTGCAAGAGCAAGTGCTAAACCTTGGATATAGTCTCTTTACAGCGCCAGTATCCTTTCTGGTAAATGTATTTGTGTACTTGCTTGTGTTACTACACAGACCGCTAAGAACCAGAAAGTAGAAAACAGTCCCTCCATCCTCCTCCACCCCCAACCCCCATCCAGTGAAAGCACATCACAAGCTCTTTACCAGATTCCTTGGGTGGCTCTGAAAAGAGCCTTTGTATTCTCAGACAGTCTCAATCCTCACTTCTTTTGGGGGGCAGCCTTCTTGGGTTTGGCCGTCTTTGGCTTGGCCACTTTGGGCTTGGGGGCTTTGGCCTTGGCTGGACTTTTGGGCGCCTTCTTGGGTTTCGCCGCTTTCACCTTTTTCGGGCTCTTGGTCACTTTCTTGGCCCCTGCAGCCGCCGCCGCCGGCTTCTTCGCCTTCTTCGGGGTCTTCTTGGCGCTCTTCTTGGGGGTGGCTGACCCCGCGGCCTTCTTGGCGGCCCCAGCAGCCTTCTTGGGTTTGGCCGCGCCCGCCTTCTTGGCCTTGGGCTTGGCCTCCCCGGAAGCCGCCTTCTTGTTGAGCTTGAAGGAGCCGGAGGCGCCGGTGCCCTTGGTCTGCACCAGGGTGCCCTTGCTCACCAGGCTCTTGAGGCCCAGCTTGATGCGGCTGTTGTTCTTCTCCACGTCGTAGCCTGCGGCAGCCAATGCCTTCTTGAGCGCGGCCAGCGACACGCCGCTGCGCTCCTTGGAGGCGGCCACGGCCTTGGTGATGAGCTCGGACACCGACGGCCCGGACGCCTGGCGCTTGGAGGCGCCGGCGGACTTGCTGGCCTTCTTCTTCACCGGTGTCTTCTCCGCAGCCGGAGCAGGTGGCGCGGCGGGGGCGACCTCAGACATGGTTGTCAGTGCACAGAGCTGGCAGTAAAAAAAAAATAAAGTCTCCGAATTCAGAGGCCAAGACGGAGAGCGCGTCTATATAAACACACGGCGGCGCCGCGCGCTGATTGGTTCGCTGCTAAGCCTTCCGCTCTGACAGCTCTGCAGGCTCAGCTCCGGGCCGGAGTTGTGTTTGTTCCAGTTCAGGAAAGCTAAAAAATTAAAATTTCTTGCCGAAGGATCACACCAATTCTGCTGTACAATGCACAGGGACAGCTCAAGCTTTGAGACCGTCATAATTTTTCCTCCTGGGTCGTATCGCCTCGGTCTCAGCAATTGTCAAAACCCCCCGACACTGTGAGAGATTCTCATGTCAGAGAGTCCACTTGTTGATTTTTGTTTAAATTATCATTTTTTCCCTTTGTGCATTCAATATCTTTCTCTCTAATGATGTCCTATACCTTCTTGGCTTCTCATACATTTCACCAACTGCTTTATTCTCATTGAGGTTTGCCCAGAAAATCTCTTTCGTATGAGGAGAAATAACACAGGCTCTTAAAGGATTTCTCTGCAAGAACCATACTAAAGGATGCTTGTAATAACCACAATTCCCAATAAGAAAAGCCTTCATTTTGTCTGCAGAAAGCTTTATCATAGCTTTTTCTGACTACTTGGAGGGCTAGGTAATTTTTGTCTTCCAGCAGTCAACATTTGATTAGGAAAATTGGAAGTGGAATATTCACCGAGTGTCTTGTCACTCTACCTGTAGTTGGGGCAGTAGCTGAAGCAGAAGAGATTCAGGGAGGGGCGTAAAAGAGAATTGGATTCTTTTTCAGGTTAAAAAATTCTTGTTTTCTTAGGGGAGGTTGGTTATTCAAATGTTCACCAGCTATTGGGGTACAGAAGTTTGTCGTGCTTGGGGAACCTAAGTTTTCACAAAGTGTTCACATGATAACACCGTTGAGGAATAATATGTCGTTCACACACATATACAATTTCATTACGACAAAGAAATTTAAAAACAAGCATGGATTACATTTACAACTAAAATTCTTATTTAAGGAAGGATATAGCTTTATAGGAAACACATTACAGCGTGTGCTTTATGGTGAGTAAAAAACAGATCGATGGCCCAGGAGTTGGATAGGGCAAGGGTGTCAAGGTCTGGGCCATTCTCACTGAATGCTATTTTTGCTACATGCTGAAAAAATGCAGTATTTTGAAGAGGCAGATATAACTGAATGAGCTTGACCAGAACCACATCTGTTAAATGAACTGCAGAAATAGAAATCAAGATGCAATTAACTAAATAGTTAATTGTTGTGTGTAAGCAACCGCTAAGCCTCCCTTCGGGGAGACAGAGCCTTGGATATGAACCACCTGTCTCCTTGGCTTGCTTGCTTCAAGTAAATAAAACTACCTGCCAGCAACCACGTCTCATTCTTGGGTAGAAAATGCCAAGTGGTGAACTCCTTGATTTTGGTAACAGAGTGATTTGACTTTTTTTTCACTCCTCAAACTATTTGTTTGTCTTCCACGCATTATGGGTATCATGAAGCACACACAGTCTGTGTTTCTCTAGGACTATGAAAGAAAATGCTGGAATCTGACAGCAAAGCAAAAAACAAAACAAAACAAAACAAAAAAACAAAACACACCTCAGGCTTTCTCCTTGATACCAGTAAGGTCAACAAAAGACTGATTTATTCATGCATAACATCCAATTCAGACATGAAAAAGTTAATGAGTTAATAGAAATTAAAACCGTGACTCAAATGCATGAGAGCGGAAGAGAAATAAGCTCAGTACAAATAATTTTTATGTGTAGTGTGTATGTACGTGCTACAGAGCTCACGCACTCTACTCTTTAAAAATGGTTTGACATTACAGTTTTCCGCAGCACCGCCAAAGTACTAGCTGTCCCTCAGCCATCTAAGGGTAGGACATCTCCAAGGTAGTTCCCCACTCACCTGCGTGAGTTCACGAGCTACACTTATGCAGATAATCTCCAAGTCTCTGTCTTGAGGTCTGTTTTCTTGTCTAAGTGTCAAATTGGCATTTCTGAGGGCTTGCTGAATGTCTGCCTATGCGTCTGCAAGACTCTCAACAGCAGCCACCTGACCGCAGTAGCTTCCAATCAAAGATGACTTTCCAGCCAATATCTTTCTGTGATCTTTTGGCAAAAGCACCATGCTTTTATTAACCAACACGAAAACATTTCAATTCTTCCATTTTGTTTGTCACCAAATCCAGGCTGTCACCCAGTTCCGTGCACTCTTCCTAAAATCATCGCTCCTCTTTTACTTTGCCCATCGTGGTTGTGTTCCAGCCCCGCTCTGCCTTGTCTGGACCAGCTGTTCTCACCTGATGGGCCCCCTTTCTCTGGTTCTCTAATTTTATCCTCTGCATTGCCCTCGATGAATATTCCTCGTGAGCCCCACATGTGTATGACCCACCTTCCGTTGGCTTTCTAATTTAAGAAGAAGCACTTCAGTATGGCATTTGAATTCTCTCACTAACTATAGATTGTGAAGGTGTTAAATCATCATTTTGGCAGCATGGTTTAGTAGAACAAGCACGAGATTTTGAAACCCGTGATATGTATTTCAGTCTGGTTTTGGAGTTCAAAAGCTGCATGATGTCGATCTATTCATGTAACCTGTTAGAGTAAATTTTTCAGGATTTTGTTTGTTTGTTTTTGTTTCCCACTCCTCACCCTATTTTAAAGCCAAGGTTTACGTGAAACTAATCTAATGACATACTTTGAAATGTTTACATATACAATTTCCAATCCCTTAAACTGGATGCAATTGCTCCCTCTTTTGAGCTGCTATGTTGATTTCCTCGTGTTACCCGCATCCTTCTCCCCTTCGAAACCTTCCCAGCAGACTAAACAACCAGGACTGCGTTCCGTCTGTCAGACGTGGCCTGCAGTCCTTTCTATACAGGCATGTGCACAAATTACACCCAGGGGGTCTTTGGGGAACCAGGACTCGAGAGGTTCCTGAATCCCGTTCCCGAGCTTCATCCTGCTCCTGCAGCTCCTGCCTACATGCTCGCTTTCTGCGCTGCCACGCTCTGCACGGTCGCCCTGACACAGGCGTGCCGCACACTTGCGTTGTTCATTTTACACCGAGTGAGAACCCAGCCCCACCGACTGGGGCCTTAGGCTCCACTGACGGCGCAGACCAGTTCCGAAGTGAATTGCCTGTCTTGAGTTTCTGCCATTGGGCTCAGAGTGGCCCCACATGCCTGTCTAGAGAGCTTCGGTCTCCGCACTAACACAGGTAGAGGAACTCGAGTCTCCGCAGCCCTGTTCCTGTCAGATGTGACAAAGGACCGTGGAGCCTAGTGGGCTTTTCCTCCCTCCAGATGTTGGGGAAAGAAAACAATGCTGTCAACAGAATGACCTTTCTGTATCAATATACTTTAGAAAAAACGTAATTTATTTTTCAGTAACATTAACAGATTTACATACATGTGAGTTAGCACACAAGGGACCGTAGTTAGGGAAGGATTTCGCATGTCTTATAAGGCAGAAGAAAGAAAAACGTGATCATTTTCAGAGACGGGCTACGCCTTGTGACAATCTCAGGTGTGTGTCTCTTCTGAGAGACGACCCCCTAAGTCCAGAGGCCGCACATCCACCGAGTGTTCATCCCACCACCCAGGAGGGACCTCTCCACTATGAAAGCTGAAGGCGGGGCTGAATCTGTAGAAAACTTTCTCTCCATTTCTAAGGGGAGAGTGGAAACTCAGACTCACTCTTTCTCCAAGAAAACTCTAAGAAGAGAGAGAGAGATGACCTCTTTACTGTATATAAGTGGAGAAAAACCATCGCCGTTTTTCTGACGCCTCCGTCAGGGCACTGACACGAAGGAGAGTTTCGTTCTCACACGACGGGTTGGCCAGCGCTGCTGCTCTCCGCTCGGCCTCGCCATCTGGAGCCCGTCCAGGCTGCCGGGGCCCATGGAAGAGGGATTCTCAACCATCTCTGCGTCGTTGACTTTTCCATACAGCTGAGGAAGCGTATGGGCCCATTCCCGGAGGAACACTTGTAAGAAAATAGGCGTAGGATGACAAAGAAAAGCCATTATGTTCAAACAGTATCATTAAACTTATCAAAAATCCAAATTGGTGAAGTATTGACACATGTGCTTTTTATCAATTCTTGAAACCACAAGATTACCCGCATGACCAAGAATTACCACAGCTTATGTGGACAAATATCTTTAAATGATTTGTTGCGATGCTGACAGCTGAAGCGCATTGCAGCGTGACTAGAGCGCAGGCCCCGCCAGTCACACTGCGAGCTGCCCGCTTCCCTAGGCAGAGGACATGTGAAGGTTCGGCGGGGGGATGGTGACAACACAGATGAAGTTTTGTTCTCTGTACACAAGTGCCCAGATGCTCTGCACCCCGTGCGTGTGTCACCGCTGGATACCTCCTCTCGGGGGGTTGTGTCCATTTGTGTCCGTGAACTCACCGAGCAGCTCTGATGAGCTTGGCCCTCCTGACCGCTCTCCTTCGCAGGGAGACCCAAGTTAGGGGACTCCCGCTCCCCAGTTTTCGTCTCTCTTGTGAGAGTTCCCGTGAGAGACAACACCTATGGTGGAAGGGAGACAGCAGGTGTGTTTGTGAAAAACACCTGAGCTGCAAGTCGGTGCCCAGCTAGTCCGAGTGCCCCTGCTACTGGGATCTAGGGGCTGTATGCTTGCAGCCAGCTTCTAGGTTCCCCTCCCTCCTGCCCTCTCTAGACCCTGGGATTAATACACGGTTTCAAAGCTGTTCTTTTTCAGAGAGTGGAAACGACGCACACACAATTTCAGTGGCTCCCCTCCTCCTGCACTGTCGTAATTTTTCTTGCGGTGTTCAGAATGCCTGGCAATCTTCTCCGGCCAGGCTCTGGACAAATAAGTAGACATGTCACCTTCCCCCCCTCTGCCTTGGTTTGCGCTCCATCCTGCCCAACACAGCCCAGGGAGGAAAAGCCAAGGCTGCCCAAAGTCAGCCTGACCTCCCCAAGAGAATGAATGCGGAATTAATTATCAAGCATTTATTATTTCGAGTTGTTCTCAGAAGAAAGGTCAGGTTCAGGAAGGAGCCTCCCTCCCTGAAGTGTGCCACCTTGGCACACAGCTAATTTGGAGCTGAAATCATTAAAGCCCAACAAAGTCAGGAAGAGTTTCTTCTTACTTTTAAATCTCATTACAACTAAAAACCTGCTTCAGGAAGGAAGCATTGCCATGACTGTCTTACTACATTCAATTTAGCACTTATGAGTTAAGGGTGGTAGACAGGAAGGATCCAGGCCCAAATCCATTCACCAGGTTTTCCTCTGTACCGCTGTTTCCCAGTTCTCTGGCAAGCTTTTACCCCCCACATTCTCTGCCTGTAGGCTGCCTATTTCCCCCGTGAGACCCCAGACCCCTCCCCCTTTCTCCTTTATCCAAAATGACACATATGTCTCATTTTGCCTGTCTTTGGAATTTTCATTGTTATACGAATTCCCCATATGCATGTATTGAAATTTTATTTTCTCCCACTAATCTGAAGCTTTTAATTTATTAGCCCAGCTAGAAGAGCTTGGAAGAAAATTACTTTTTTTTCACAGCCCCACAGAAGGTTTAGCAAATTAGGACACTCTGTTAGGTTCGTCGCTTTAGAGGGGTGCATACTGAAAAAAGGAATAATTAATGTTGACTCTTTATTTAGAGAAGTTAAACAATTTGCATAGGTTAGCTCTTTTAAGTGTCTTACAAAGAACAACAGGCGTTAAATCATTATTTCATATTCTGGAAAATCTGAAGTACAAGAGTTAGGCTTCTCTGTGGAATGTGTATAAAATGTCGCACTTAACGGCTCCCAGCATTGCATGCGAACACACATACGCCCACATACAGGGGCGTTCATTCCGTGCCAGCCGCAGGATTCAGTGTTGCTTCCGGGTCTCGGCAGCTCCGAGCACGGACAAATGAACGAAGAGGTGGAACCCAGTTGGTCACCGCCCCTGTTTCTGCGGTTTCCAATCAGGTCCGACATGTGCCTATAAAAATGCTGAGCTGGGCAAGCAACAGCACTGCGCTGCAGGCTTAGCGTTTGCTCCCACCATGTCTGGTCGCGGCAAAGGCGGGAAGGGGCTCGGCAAAGGCGGCGCCAAGCGCCACCGCAAGGTGTTGCGCGACAACATCCAGGGCATCACCAAGCCCGCCATCCGGCGCCTGGCCCGCCGCGGCGGCGTCAAGCGCATCTCCGGCCTCATCTACGAGGAGACCCGCGGGGTGCTCAAGGTCTTCCTGGAGAACGTGATCCGGGACGCCGTCACCTACACGGAGCACGCCAAGCGCAAGACGGTCACGGCCATGGACGTGGTCTACGCGCTCAAGCGCCAGGGCCGCACCCTCTACGGCTTCGGTGGTTAAGTCACCTGCCCGTTCGCTTACAAAGCAAAACCAAAGGCCCTTTTTAGGGCCACCTACCCACTCAATAAAAAGAGCTGGCACTTCATGATACGCGGGTATATTTGAGTCCGTGAGATTTGGTAATGTCGCTGGTGGGTCGTAATTTGTTTGGAGCTTTTCTTTGTGCGTTTTCCATTATTCCAGGTTTAAATTCATAAAACTCAGTTTACTATATACTAAACAGCATAGTAAGGTTTTAGAACTAGAGGAGTGAATATTAGTACCTTTTTAAACAAAATGTTATTTGGTTCTTACAACAGGGGTGTGGTGGGTATGAGTATTACGGGAATCTGGGTAGAAGTGTCTCAGACCTGGGATTAAAAACCTTTCTCAAGTTAGGAAGGTGCTGGGTTTCGACCGGGCTGAGAACTGCAGGTCCCAGAGGTGGTCGAACAATCCTTGTATGGAACAAGAGTTCCTGAATGACCAGGAGGGGCACATCTGCCCCACAGCTGGACAAGTCAAGGGGCTGGTTCCGGTGGACCAGAATAGCAGCTACATTGTTGAGTGTTTGTAATAGCGCCTTAACTTGACTGAACGCGGTTTCCTATTCTTTGTTCAGCAGGATGGGCTGTCATTTGCCTGACGTTCCTTTCAAGGAAACCTGATACCAAATGAGCTTTTTCCTTGGTACCTCCAGTGTGGCCATGCTGGACGGAACCCCAGGGCTCATCACGTGTTAGGGATGGAGGGCTGGACTACACGTATGTCTTAGGCACTTGGAATGTGGAAGTTTTAAAGTAATGTCCCTCTTTAGAAGCGTAGTTCTCGACAATATGTGGATCAAACCTTTTTGAGAATCTGCTGGACACTGTGCATACAAACACAGACATTTCACGGGGCTCATATACCTACAGCAGCATTGGTTCACTTTTCCATATATCATGTTCTCAAAGCATAGTACTGGGTAGGCAGCTGTCACATGATCTGAGAACTTAGAGAAGGCCAAGTTCCCAGATCTCCCGAGAGGCAATGAAGGGAAGTCTGGGTGAGGGACCAGCCCTCTGTGCTTTAAACAAGACCCCCACCGGTGACCTTGATGCAGTCTGCTTTGGGGACCACTGCTCCTGATGCTCAGGACATAATTCAGTGCTTGTCCGTTAAGTGGGTGAACCTCGTGGAAGCCGCCTGGCTGCCCGGAAGTCTCAGGCAGTCGCAGGCATCTCCCCAGTGGTCACTTGCCCTCCTCCTGTTCTAATTCAGCCCCGGTTTCACTCACCTTCCCCCCCCTCCCACCTTGTGCTCCAGAGAGGGCAGAGTTCCACTGCAGCCCCAGGGATCGGCTCCTGACTCAGTCCCGCCAGTCCTCGGGGTCCCTGCTCCTTAGTAACCCGGAGTGTGGGGCTGAGTACTCAGCCAGCCCGCGGGGCAGGGAGGGCCTTGAACAGTGGAGGACAGCTTTGCCAAGAACTTGATGAGCAAGTAGAAATGGGAGCTGATGAGTAAACTCTGAGTAGGGGTGGGGAGAGGGGGCTGGATGTGGAACAAGGGTCATTTCAGGCAGAGAAAAGCTGCCAAGGACTGAAGGCTGGAGAGGTTCACATTCCCTCCCCCCGCCCAACAGTGAGAAACAAAGAAAACAAAAGTCAAATGAGAACAATAATGGAGAAACAAAAAACAAACAGGAGAAAAAGAATCCTCTGGGCCAGGCTTTGAGTTAGATGTGTGTGGGCCAGACTAGGGCCTGAGACCTTACTACAACTCCCGCTTCTGCGTGGGGTGGGGCCTGTTGTGGGGGGGGGTGGGGGGGCGGTCACTGAAAGGCTCTGGGTGGGGATAATGCAGGACCAGGAGTGCTTTTTAGAAGGCACGGTGCCTGGACTAGAAACTAGATTCTCTATGACAGGACTTTCAGTCCTAATTAAACTCAAATAAACTCAAGATGACCAGAAAAGTTAAAAGGCACTTATGATTTGGTAACCTGAAACAACTACGACAATCAGTGCCTTTGTGCTTATTTTTCCTTTTTGAGATAGTAGAGGGAGGCCGGACAGACTGGCTGGGCAGGCTGCCTAGGGATGGGGGCCTCTTGCTGCACTGAGTGTTACAACACTTAGGGGCGCGGTGCCGCGAACCAACCCTTTGTCCCCTATCTTCTCCTCCGGAAGGAACCCTCTGCCTCAGTTCCCCGCTGAGGGCAGGGAAGTCCTGAGGCTTGTACCTCAGGGTCGGTCTAGCCTCCTTGGCATTGTGCAATGACAAACTGTAGCTTCCAGACCTCAGTGTCCGGCACACGGACGTCTAATAGCATCCCCCTCCCCCCATTCCTTCTTCCCCTGCACGTCCTGACCGCCCCCGGGCCCTCTCCGTTCCTGGCCAAGGTTCTCAAAACCATGAGCTGCCAGCAGCGGAGACCTGGAGGCCGGATGGGGGGATGGGCTCGGAAGGGAACTCAAGTGACCAGCAGGGAAGGACGCATTGGAGGCTGCAGAGCTAAACAATCTAGTGGAGACTGAATACTGAGTGTGTTTGAGGTCGTTTGTGAAACGAACGAGGCGAGTGTGGATTGCATGCTTTGCCGCTAAAAAAAGAAATGTAAAAACAAAACCCCCTTATTTCCAGTATCTTGTTAAAGATTGGGAAAGAAAAACAAAGTTGCAATGACCATTGTTCCCTCCCTGGAGCTGAAGCTGCCTAACAGGTCCAACCCGAGATAAGACTCTTAACCAGGACTCTAAAAGGCCTCAGGCAAAGGGCGCGGGACCAGGAAGTAATTAGCCCACACGAAGGAACGGGGGCGGCGGGCGGCAGCGACACCTGCCGGACGCTCCGCTCATCTACATCAGGATTTTCAGAAATCGCTGTGGCTATGTCAGTGCGCAGCTCTTCATATGAAAACATGAGTGGCTCTGAAAAGAGCCTTTGGGGTTGGGAGTCAAGCGGCTTCCCCGCGTCTACTTGGAGCTGGTGTACTTGGTGACGGCCTTGGTGCCCTCGGACACGGCGTGCTTGGCCAGCTCCCCGGGCAGCAGCAGGCGCACGGCCGTCTGGATCTCCCGCGACGTGATGGTCGAGCGCTTGTTGTAGTGCGCCAGGCGCGACGCCTCGCCCGCGATGCGCTCGAAGATGTCGTTCACGAAGGAGTTCATGATGCCCATGGCCTTTGGACGAGATGCCCGTGTCAGGGGTGCACCTGCTTGAGCACCTTGTACACGTACACCGAGTAGCTCTCCTTGCGGCTGCGCTTGCGCTTCTTGCCGTCCTTCTTCTGCGCCTTGGCCACGGCCTTCTTGGAGCCCTTCTTCGGGGCGGGCGCGGACTTGGCTGGCTCAGGCATGATCGCAGAAGCAGCGAAACTAGCAAGAGACAAAGTAACGGCAGAGCACGGTGTGTCCCTTTTTATATAGAACCTGACATGCAAATAAGGTGACAAAGTAAAGACCTGTGTCTGATTGGTGGGTATTCAGAACAACGTCAAAATAATTAGCTCTGTCCAATCAGAACGCAAGAATGCCAAATTGAATTTTCATTCGTTAAAATGAAGTTGCAGTTTAAACAATGACACAATTCTTTTTCTCGCCTAAAAAGGATTATAGAAAATGCCGCCCTCGCACTTTCCTTAGGTCACCGTGTCGGGGCGCGGGGCGCGGGGCTGCAGGGCGCCAACGCATCCGTGAGTTTGAATCCAGATGCGACGCTGGGAAAGAACTGAAAAGAAATAGGTGTTTTTCCGTCACCCAGAGCAATCCGGGGACGCTGTCCCTGCAGACTCAATGCAGAAACAAAGCCTGAAAATAAAGGGCAGGAAATGAAAGCTCAGTGAGAAAGCAGAACAACATTGCTTGTCGGGAAACGGGAGAGGAACGTGTTGGTCAGCATGGCTACAGCTCTTCCTGTTGGGAAGTATCGAAGCATTCCCAGTCTAGTCACGGAGGAGGGTCCCACATAGTTCTGCAGTCTAACTAGTTCAACGGTTTAACAATAAAATTAAAGTGAAAAAAAAAACCCGACTGTTTAACAGCTCTATTTTAAACTACTATCCTCTGGCTGAAATGGGCTTGCCACCTACTTATTTTATTCCTGTCTTTTGGCAGAGAGATGTCCTCCCCGAACTTGCTTTTTCCCTAACAGCACACGCGCGGCAGCACGCTGCGCCGGGCAGCCTGGCACCCAAGAGGACCGCACTCGAGTCTATGACGCTGCACCTCTGTTTGCCAATAGTTCATTTGTTCTCACTTCAGTACTGAGGAAGTTTCCGGAAGGCCTATTCCCAGTGCGGTCAGTGTGCAAGTGCTCGGCATAGCTAATGTGCTTTACACGTGACCGTTTATTGAATCATCGCACCCTACCTGATTATTACTCTTTTTTTCATTTTACAGAAAAGTAAACGATATATACCTAGAGTAGCAGGGGCTGGATTTTTCTGCAATTATAAACCATTTGCCGCACCTTTCCAATGGTAAGATAAGCTACCGCTCTTTTCGTTCAGCCCCTGTGGTCTGTTCATAAGCACGAGGTTGTCCGCAGAGCTGGGCTTTGGCAAACGGGCTGGCCCAGCTGTTGCCGGCTGCTGCGGTCCTGCTCTTCTAGCCGGGCTCCTGCCCCGAGAGATCGCCCAGTTTTCCTAACCGGAGCCCCACGCAGCCCAGCTGGCCTTGGCTGGCCTGCCTCCTGGAGGCTGGGCTGCACTTCCACGGGCCCTGCTTCCCACTTAATGCAATAGCTCGTTTTCCACTTGGGATTGGCTCGTCCAATTGTGGTCCTTGGGGCAGCAGCGGCCAGTCACGGAGGAGCTGGTTAGAAACGCAGACTCCTAACCTCCACCCCAGACCTACAAACCAGACTCTGCCGCCCACCGAGGTCTTCCGGGGATCTGTGTGCTCTGGTTTCCGAAGGAAGGCGCTAAAGGGTCTTTGATCTGCAGGGAAGATTTTCACCTGCAGGAAGGCCTTCTCCAGGAAAAACAAGGGGCATAAAGGGGCGCTACCCAGAACCCCTTCTACTTTCCATACATATTTTTAAACACCCTCCTTTTCCATTCCTTGTCTAGGATCATCTGTTATTAGCATTGCCATTA